TGCAGTGGACTTCAAACCTTCTTGTCAGATCCACCGCCAAGAGCGCTAATACTTGTTAATTTTGCTGTTGTGACGGAAAATTTTGTTTGTGCGCTTTCTTGGTTGGTGCACACGCGCAGACTCAAAGTGCACAGGCTCTTCGGGGTCAGACGTGCTTACAGGTGCCAGCAAAGGCACAAACTTAAGAAAACCTTCCGGGTCAGGCATGCTTGCAGGTCAAAACACTCAGGTTCTTCATTTAGGGTTTGGTTTGCTTTTCTTACCTCTTACCCTTAACAGCACTAGGCATTGTCTGGTTTCTGCTGGAAAAGTGCCTAGAACAACCAGCAAGCCTGTTTATGCATGGATAAGTGCCTGGCGGGAAAAAATTGCTGTGATTGACTTGTAATCCGGCGCGGGCCTGTTAAGAAACGCCATGGCTTCTGGACAGCGCCACCCTCTTAGAGTGCCAGACACGGACATCTGTTGGTCTATCTTGCGCAGTATGATGGATACATCTTGCTCGTTACGGCTTCTGCAATAGAAGCAAGCTTCTGAAACTAATTTCTAGGTCTCCAAGCTCCAGAATAATTAGACGCCTCCGGAAGGCGGAAAAGTGTTTTTGACATCAAACTGTTGCCAAAACCCTTCCGAAAGGCTTAGAAGTAATTAGGCCTCTTAATCTGCTGCCTGAAACTTCTTTGGAAGGCGCAGCAGTTGCTGATTGGGCTTTCCAAATGTGTCCTTGCAGTTGCCTAAAAGCCCAGAAGTAGGCTTTTTAAAACTGCTGCCTTAATTTTTTCCTGGAAGGCTTAGCAGTGTCTGTCTAAAACTTCTCCAGAAGACCTAGAAGTGATTTGGCCCACAAACGGCTGTCGGAGTCTTTGCCAGCAGGTGCAGAACAGGTTTGCCCTGTGGCCATAAGGTCAAGCCTTAAAACTTTCGGCGCAAACACAAGAAGCCTCCAAATAGAGTACTTCCTAATAGCTATGTAAGGACGCCCGGACACAGCGCCAACGGCAGCCTTGTGTAGCCACACCAGCCTTGCCAGTCCCCGCTCGCCGGGGGGAGAGAGTCTCTTCTGGCGCTTGTGCCTGTTTTCAGTGTGCTTGCCTTCCTTGCCAACCCAAAAGAGTCCTAAGTGCTATTGCGACGGCCCTGGCGCTTGTGTGGGGACTGTCTCTACGGACGCGTTGAGCAGTTCAGGTGACGGAGGTTCCTTGCCTTACGGCCTACCCATACTTTCGCTTAATGTTTGTACCAGACGTGGCGCAGCATTGCTATGGGTAACAGGCAGCTAAGTGATTGGTGCCGGTAGGTTCTTGTTTGCATTGGTCTCACCTCGCTGGCCTTGCAATAAGTTGTCTTGCAATAAGGGCTTCTGCGCTAGCGGTTGCTTCTTTGTAGTCACGACTTCTTTTTCGCTCGCTGGCTTGTACAGTTTGGCTCTCAAAGTTTTGGCGGGTTGCTGCGGGTTTTGGTGGTTGTGTTTTGTGGTGGTTTTGGTGTGTGTTTGCTTTGGTTTTCGCACCTGCTCTGTTTCACCTCTAGTGTTCAGACCCACAAGAACGGCCTACTGCGCTGCTGATGTAGTAAAGAGGCGTCGGTTCAAAAAAAAAAACACGCACCAGTAGTTCGGGCGGAAGCCGCCGGCTGCCAATGGTCGCCTATCATGACATTCAGCAGCTCCGATGTGAGCCAAGATGCTCTTGGCCGACGGAGTCTCTAGTTGTTGTACTCAAGCACTTTGCCAGGACATTTGCTCTTCTGAAGATACCAGAAATCGATCTCGGTTTAACAACACCGCTTTTGCTGAAGAGATGTCGGTGTGCAACCGGATCTTGACCTTTCTCTGCCAATCAGAGTCGCCAGTCCCTCGCTTTCTTGCATAGCAGTCGGAACTGTGAGGTTGGGTCCATTTCTGGAAACTCCACGCGTTCTAGTTGACCAGCCATCCAGAGCTTGGCTCGCATCATCTCGTTGTCATCGAAGGGAAGAGAGTGCTTGCCCTTCTCCTTTCTGGCGGAGACTCGGACTAGAGTCCACCTTTTTAAGGAGGCTTTGGTTCTGAAGTTTTGCAGAGAGCCAAGAAATAATTAGCATGGATCGTTATGGATTCACGAGATTTCCGGCAGCTCTGAGGTCAAGAGCGTTTAAACCAAATTTGGATCTAAGAATTCAAGACATCAGAAGTATTGGGGTTTGACTTTGTTTCGACAGTATTGTGGCGGATGCTGGCTGAATTTTGAACGGGCAATACCTGCAGACCTGAAGGAATAAAAGTCGTTAAGGATCCCAAAACATGAGGTGGTGTTGCTTCTTGTCATCCAAAACTTGAAAGAACAAAGCCTCCAAGATCAAACAAAACGTGTTTTTTTTGCAGTTGGAGCAGACGGGTTTTGACAGCATTGTGGTGTTCTGGCATTTTTAAAAGAGCAGTGTGTTGGTGTTGCTTCTTCTCATCCTGAACCTGAAAGAGCAAAGCCTCCAGATCAAAAGGACGTTGTATCAACTTTTGCAGTTGGGCAGAGCAGTTTTGACAGTATTGTGGTATGCTGGCTGAATTTGAACGGGCAATTCCTGCTAGTGTTGCTTCTTGTCGTCCCAGCCTGAAGGAACAAAGCCTTTAAGGATCCAAAAAGCATGATGTACAGTATTGTGGTATGCTGGCAGAAGTTTGAAACAGCAACGTTTGGTGGTGTTGCCTTTTGTCATCCAAAACTTGAAAGAACAAAGTCTCGAGATCAAAAATATGTGCTTTATCAATTTTTGCAGTTGGGGCAGACGGTTTTGAAGTATTGTGGTATGCTGGCAATTTTGAAAAAGCAGTGTCTGTTGGTGTTGCTTCTTGTCATCCTAAACCTGAAAGAGCAAAGCCCTCCAGATCAAAAGAACGTGTTGTATCAACTCTTGCAGTTGGGGCAAAGCAGTTTTGACAGGATTGTGGTATGCTGGCCTTCTTGAAACAGCAACGAAGGGCTTTGTTCCAGCCGAGGGCTTGTTCCAGCCCAGGCCATTTTCCAGCCCCTGGCTTGTTCCAGCCCAGGGCGTTTTCTAGCCAGGGGCTTGTTCCAGCTCGAGGCATTGTCCAGCAAAGGGTTTGTGAAAAATATTCTGGGCATGTTCTGTGCTCGGAATTTTCCAGCGGCAGCCTGATGCCAGCCCGGGCTGTTTCCAACGAGGTGTCGTTTCCACCTCTGGGCTCATCACTCGTGGTTGTTATGTCAATGTTTTGCGTGCAATAACTTTGTCAAGGATTGCAGAACCCATGGCAAAACTCATCCGCAGCCAATTAACTAAAGCGGAGCAGCCTGAAGCCCAATCTTAACAGTGGACAACTTCCTCGACCCTTAACAACTTCTAAACCTGCCTTATCCTTCATAATTTCAGGCCAACCTGGTTGCCATTCGCGTGCATCCATGAATGACGTCGGTGTTGACAGAATGAATCAAGCAACTGATTTGTGCATTGAAGATACATTGTTGAACAGGGGCTGCGCATACGGTTTCTATGCATGGCATCAAGTATTCGTCATGTTCCTGCTTAGCATTGTTCGCTTCTTCCGAAAGCACAAACACACACACAGTAGTTTTTGCCTGTTTAGCCAATACGTGGAACTTAGGACATTCTTGACAGCATCCACCCCCAAACAGATCAAACACGTACAGTATTTTGACGTGGCTGTTCATTTGTCGTTTAGGCACGGTCTATTTGACATGTCCGCCTGGATGACATGTTTATGACATTCACAGGAGCTTCAGCACTCATAAAAGGCAGAAACACGCCAACATGTAGACTACAGAATACAGATGATGAGCAAAGATAGCAAGCTGCACATGGATTGTGACATGCAGACAGTGACACCCGTTCGTTTGCTACACAGGTGCTGATACACGCAGCTTTGGTTTGCAACGCGGTAAAGGTGGCCACGCGCAAGTGCAGAAGTGTTGCGAATTGAGACATGTAACGTGTTATGTGCGGTGGTTGCTGTATTATGAAGTGGGCATGGCCATGATGGATGATAGCTTTGAGGAAGGTGCCGTCCTTAGACGACTCAGTTTTTTGCTCGTTCTTCCGCTGCGCTGTTTGGATTGGGCTGTTTTGCCGTATCACGTAAGGCACGTGGCGGGATCCAGACGCAGCATGTAATGCGTCAAAACCGTTGCCACAGTCTGCTTCCGATCTGATGCAAGACACGTTGAACAGCTGGAGCCTCAATTGCGAAGGTGAGAAGTGAACGGTGTTCTGACGTTTGTCACGAGGTACAAGCCAGACATTGGTTTGGCTGCAGGCCACGCTGCCTTGGGGAAGACGTCGGTTCTTTTTTGCAGTCGCAGAATGCAAGATGGACTAGACGTCATTGCGAGTGCAGAGCAGGCTCACTACCAAGGCCAACGGCCCAATGCTTAGGAAAACGACTTTGGTGTTGCAAAAACATCGCATCAAGTATGGTGGCCAGGGCGTGATTGCAAGCAAAACGCTGTTGAGCTGTCCACATTGCCAGTGCAAGCCGAGGTGGGATAGAAACAAAAGAAGCAAGGACCGGTCACGACTTGGACATGCAGTGTGTACAAATTGGGTTTACCGTATTGCACGGAGTGAAAGACGTGAACCGTCCACTTCCCCTAGAAAGCGTGTGGTGCTTCCAGCAGCATCGCTCCATGTCTTTATGTTGCCTAGGCGTTGTTCTTGTCTCAGCTGCTTGGCGCTCGAGTCTGTTTGTCTGCGTGTGCTCTACGGATCCTTGTACGGCTTGCTTGTTCGTCCCAACGGTATGAGTAAATTTTGTTGTTTTCTCAGACTTGAATCGCGAATGTGGTCGAACGTATGCTAGCTGACGCCTTGCCCACACGGTAAACGCACAGATGGAGGGCCAATGTGTGGAACGTCATGAGGATCAGCCACAGTGTTGCTTGCAACGTGAGGAGCCAGTGGGTTCATGCGATTCGTGCAGATGTCCTCCGAATGGTGATGATTCAGCTTGCTGGCCGTCGAATAGTTCTGCTGGGAACGACTTCGGCATGAACGTGGCCGAGCTGGCTGATCGAGATGGGGCAAGCGATGCCTTCTCCAAGGACTCAGAAATTCCTTCCGAAGCTCGGTTTGGGCAGCTCGGGGCCAAAGATGCAGCGAGCTTGGCGGGTGAGGACAGGTGACACACCTTGTGGTTGCACAGCATTGCACAGCAGTCGTTCAGCAACCCTTATGTAGCTCTGTTCATGTTTAGCCGTCCGGCCAGGACACTGCCGAGGAGATCGATGTGACCTTTGCACATCCTGACAAGTCATCGAGGCCACCTGCAATGTGCGACAACGCAGCAGTGCCTTAAGAAAGCGGATGTTCAGGCAGTGCACCAGTGCTGGATCCAGCAGCGAGGCTGTTTGCTTGTTTTTGCCGGTTCGCATCTTGCTTGGCCACGTCCCACTTGTCAAGCTGCTCACTGCACTTGAATTTTGCGACGGTCCGTCGCTGCCTCGCAAAAGTCTTGGGCAGAACCGAAGGCCTTAGCCGCACAAATCCGGTGACTGACTTGTTGTGGGGCTGCTTGCACTGATGATGCTGCAGGGGATTTGCCAGGACCAGCCAGGTCCGTGAGAGCCCGAGAATTTGTTTGGGAATCAGGAAAGAAAGTGCCAGTATCAGCGTCGTCACAGTGAGGTATGTGATCATCCACGACTGTACCTACGTATCTGAAACGTCTGCGGTGCCCCCAGAAGAGGAGCCTCGCTTAAGAAGCGGAGTGTGGAGGCAAGAGCGATGAGCCAAAACCAGTCACAAAGTGTGAGGACGTGGTGACCGTTGTGCGAGTTGGGACAGTTGCGGAAATCTCAGAGACTACCAGCCTTGTTCATCTTGGTTCTTGCCAGTTACGCATGTAGCCGAGTGGAGCTGCGCCAGCTCAGAGCCCAATCTCCACTCCTTCGCTGCCAAAACCGGTTCACCCGTTCTGTTGACCCTTAGGTCGAGGTGGAGGAGGTTGTGCAGCAGTCCCAAGCAAAGGCCTGGCCTTGACCAAAGCTTCAGGATGAGGTTGAAGTGTAATGAAGTGTTAGGGTGAAGGGGAGCTGGTGGACCGCCATTAGAGTCTCCCTTTCAACGCCGTGTAGCCCCCCGCTGCATCAGAATGGGCGTTCCGCGACGAGAGCCCATATGTCCAACGCCTTTCTGCCTGTAGCAGCCTGCAACAGCCTGTAGCAACAGTTGCACCCACCCAGCGAACAGAGAGCTGCATTTGGAGTCTGCTTTGCTCTCAATGTGGGCAGTGCCTTGCACTTGCTGCTTGCTGCTTGCCCAAAGGCTTAGAAGCTTAACGCTCAAAGTCCGTTCTAGTGTGGCCTCGTCGGGCAGCCTCCCTCGGTAAGGTGCGAGGGCGCATCGCGTCGCCGCCAGGCCAGACAGGGATTTTTTAACAGAAAATAGCAGAAGCCGGGGTTCTTTGTGATTGAGGGCTTCATAAGTTCTGCAGTGTAGGGTTCAGAGATTTAGGATGAAGGGGCTGCAAGCAATGGGTGGGTGGAAGCCGCGCGTTTGTTTTGAGACGTTTTGAGCAATCGGCCTGTACTTAGCAGGGAATTCGGCGGCTATGTACAAACACGTGTCTGTTGTCGACAGCCTGTGATGATGATGATGATGATGATGATGATGATGATGATGATGATGATGATGAGGAAGGAGGAGGAGGAGATCTTGCAGATTCCTTCTCACGTTAGTAAGTAAGCCTTGTGTAAAGGTCTTCGTGGAAAACCCTAGCAGCCTCTCTTCGAGAAGCTGCTGAAGCTCTAGGTTGGATATCTCTCCTGGATGTGGCAACTGGCTACCGGTGGGCATGCCGAGTGGAGGACTGGAGGGTTGAAGCAAGGATCAGTCATAAACAGCACTGCAAGAGCAGAACTGCATTGCACCGTCCCAAGAAGGGGGTCGATGCGCGATTCAGAAACTGGATGCGATTCAGCAAAGTATTCAGGAAACTCCGGTGATTCAGGAGACTGCGGTTCAAGAAACTAGGCGAGTCGGAAGAATTGCCGGATGCAGGAAACTGGCGTCACGCGAGTCAGGAAACCGCGACTCAGGAAACCATGCAATTCAGGAAACCGGCTTCACGCGCGCGGTTCAGGAAACAAAGCGTTTCAGGAAACTGGCTTCACGCGATTGCTATCCGATTCATAGAGGGGTGGGTCGGGGGGGGGGTTTGGGGGGGATGATGACGGTCATGTCACGGGTGCTTTCCGGGACCTTTGTGATCCTCGCGCCCGAATCTGCGCTTTCCAGTTTCCCGAATCCACGGTTTCCAGAATCCACGCTTTCCAAGTTTCCTGAATCCCTGGTTTTTCAGCTTCCCGTAATTACCTGCATCTTTTTGGTTCTCGAATCCGCGATTGTGCACTTCTACTTTTGAGTTTCCGATTGCTGACCCGACCAGGCCAAACCGTAAGGCTACAGGCTCGGAACCTTCAGCTGTCTGAAGCTCCATGGCAGGACCGGGCTCTCCTCCACAAGCCCGCTGTGTTGGACACGTCGCTGGCGAGCTAGTCTTGAGTTTGTGCATGCTTGTAGGAGCTTGTGCATGCTTGCGCATGCTTGTGCCTTTTTTCATCCTCTCCCATTCTCATTGCGTTCCATGTCAGGCAGGATTACAACAGTTTGCGCCCGCAACTCCCCGAGCCTCCGTCATGGTGGCCCCGCCCAGCAGCGACAGGATTGGCAGCGGGCTTGGCTTCAGAAGTGGTTTTTCTGGGCAACCTAAACCCATGGCTGACTGCTACCCAGGCACCGTGTGTCGGAAGCCCCGCGCCAAAGCAGTGCACCGCCGCAGCCCACAACCTAAGGTTGGCTGGGCTTAGGTTACGGCTTGAGGGTTTCTTAGGTTTCCTGGGTTTTTTTTTCGCAGCTCTGACCCAGGCAGGGCTTGCGCTTCGTGGGCCTAGGCTTTAGGGCCTTCGGGGCCTTCCTGGAATGGCGGGTCTTGTCAGGAAGCCGGGGCTGGGTCTACAATGGCCTACACCTGTCAAGGTTTTTAGCTGGACAGGGCGATCTCTTTAGGATCCATGGGGCTCCTGGCAATCCCGTCCCTCGGAAAGTATGCGAAGCTTGTCGGGTGCGCGGCATAATGGAGCCGATGTCGAAGGCAAAAGCCGCCCACTCGAGATTCGAGCGCTGCTTCAATCACGTCTGTAGTTCATGGTAGTTCAGCCGGTTTTCCTCCCTGTAGGCCCCTCCAGGGGCCTTCAAGGAACGTTGTCAATTGGCCCAGCGGGGTCGAGAATGTTTATAGGTTGTGGTGGGAGCCCATAGCTGCCAAGGTCGTCTCAGACCTTCTCAGTATAGTTATAGTCAGTTATAGTATGGTCCAAATTTCGATCACTTTTGAACCGCAGGCAGAGGCTCTGCCACTGCCGTGCCTTTGCTAATGCATGCCCAGCTCGCAAATTCATTGCTTCACTGCGAGAAAATGAGCCCCTCTGAATCACCCTAGGCGTTTCTGCAAAGCAGGTCAAAACGCCGTGAGGATGTCGTGAGAGAGTATTGTCCTCTGGCCGTTCTCCTTTTTGTGACTTCTGGGTTCGAGAAGAGCACATCGGTGGGAGGAAGCGGATGTAGAGCACGATATCGGAGCTTGAGAGGGCCGACTTGCACGCCTTGACAATCTATATGCTACAAGTCTGCAAGATATTTTAGGCCTATAGGTTTCTTTAAGTCAAAAGCCTGCGACCATAAGTTTACAGTGCCAGAGTCGTTGCGATAGTCAGGATGCTTTAGGGACCCCGGCCGCGGCTTGCTCAGTAGTTGAGGCCGCCCCCTCGTACAGGGACACCAGTGCTGTCCTGTCTTGCAGTCCTTTGTTCACTCCTTTGTTCCTAGGCTACAGCCAACATGTGCCGACAGGAAGCTTCAGCATCTGATGCCCTTGCTGAGCGATGCATCCTTGGTTGTCAATGAGAAGGCCTCTTGCCGCTCGACCCCCCAGCATGCAAAAGCTCATTCCACCAGTGCCCTCCCCCCCCCCCCCCCTTGGACGAATCATTCTGCAAGGGTGCCCATCATGTCTTGTAATTACTTGTCAGGGACAGAAGCAATAGGCGACAAGTGGAGGGCCCCGTCAGGTCGGCAGAGAACAAGGTGGTGTGAACCACATGGCGCGGGAGCCCGGCCGAATTCTGTTTCGGGTAGTTCATTTCAGGGCTTCAGAATGCACTCTGGCAGGTGTGGGACAGTACTTCCTCAGACGGCTCTGAGGGCTTGGTACAACTTCAGTTGGGAGGCTGGCCAGGCCCCCAGACCTTGGAACCCAGTGCCTGAATTCAGCCGATGCGACAAGCGCATCAGAAATTCTGGTGGACAAACAAGGTGTTGTGATGAATTATGCGTCACACAGACATTTACTGCTGACACAGAGAGAGACACAGGCATAGGTACAGGATGGTACAGGCACAGACCCAGACTGACGGACAGACAGACAGACAGACGCAGACAGACACAAACACGAGACCTGGAGAGATGCAAAGAGAGACACAAAGAGAGAGACGGAGAGACGCCAAGAGAGACACACTGGGCCCAACCTCGCGGGGGGCGTGCAAATCGCGTGGGGGCTTTCTGCCAGGTCCCATGAAAAGGAAAGACAGAATGAATGAAAGAATGAAAGAATGAAGAATGAAAGAATGAAAGAATGAAAGAATGAAAGAATGAAAGAATGAAAGAATGAAAGAATGAAAGAATGAAAGAATGAAAGAATGAAAGAATGAAAGAATGAAAGAATGAAAGAATGAAAGAATGAAAGAGTGAAAGAATGAAAGAATGAAAGAATGAAAGAATGAAAGAATGAAAGAATGAACTAATAGATGAATGGATGAATGGATGAATGGAAGAATGGAAGAATGGAAGAATGGAAGAATGAAAGAATGAAAGAATGAAAGAATGAAAGAATGAAAGAATGAAAGAATGAAAGAATGAAAGAATGGAAGAATGGAAGAATGGAAAGACTGAAAGACTGAAAGACTGAAAAGCTGAAAGGCTGAAAGGCTGAAAGGCTGAAAGACTGAAAGACTGAAAGACTGAAAGACTGAAAGGCTGAAAGACTGAAAGACTGAAAGACTGAAAGACTGAAAGACTGAAAGACTGAAAGACTGAAAGACAGAAAGACTGAAAGACTGAAAGACTGAAAGGCTGAAAGACGGAAAGACGGAAAGACGGAAAGACTGAAAGACTGAAAGACTGAAAGACTGAAAGACTGAAAGACTGAAAGACTGAAGGACTGAAAGACTGAAAGACTGAAAGACTGAAAGACTGAAAGACTGAAAGACTGAAGGACTCAAAGACTCAAAGACTCAAAGAATCAAAGAATCAAAGAATCAAAGAACCAAAGAATGAAAGCATGAAAGCATGAACGCATGAAAGCATGAAAGCATGAGCGCATGAACGCATGAAAGCATGAAAGCATGAAAGCATGAAAACATGAAAACATGAAAGCATGAAAGAATGAAAGAATCAAAGAATCTCCCTGTGTCGTGTGTCTGTGTGTCCGAAGCAAGAAGAAAGGGAAGAAGGAAAGAAAAGAAAGAACGAAAGATAAAGAAAGAAATACAGAACGATGAAAGAAAGAAAGAAAGAAATAATCAACGAAAGAAAGAAAGAAAGAACGATAAAGAAATAAAGGAAGCAATAAGGACATACATAACTAAAGAAATATTAAGGAAAGAAAGAAATAAAGAAGGAAAGACAGAAAGAAAAACACATCGCTATGTATATAAAGACATAAAGATAGAATGAAATATAAAATAGATAGATAAGCAGAGGGACACAGAGAGACACAGAGAGACGCAGAGAGACACAGAGAGACTGAGAGAGACAGAGAGAGACAGAGAGTTTTTCAGAACACAGTGCGTATGCGACTTCTAAAGCTACTCACAATTTCCAATTCGATCTCTGAGCCATGGCCTCTCATCGGCTCACCGACCAAGCAGAATGGGTCTGCTGAAGAGGGCCAGTGGCAACGCACAGGCAGGACCGCGTGCTGGCTCAATCGTCACGACCCAAACAGCCAGCTTTGCCTGCAGCCCTCTCTTGGGTCTCTTGGCAATCCCTACAAAACCGGGCAACTCGGCAGCGGTCTCTGTCTCCTCAAAAAACAGTTTCCCAGCTGTGGTCTGGAAGCAGACGATCTGGTTGAGAGTGTCAAGATTCGCCGAATTGAATCCAGCACCTCGGAGGGGCTTCAGCTAAATGCCCCTACCATGCAGCGAGGGATGGCGCTCTCACGGCATCAAGTTTTCGGGGTTGGGTGAGATAATCGCAGTTGAAACCTGTGTGATGGCCAGTGTGAACAAGTCATTCAGCGGTCTTACATTCAACAGCTTCGAAGGCCGTAGGACGAGCCCTTGCTTTTTTCGCAAGCATGGGGTCGTTTGCCACAAACAGAATGGTCATCAAAACCATGGTTTGCTTCTCAACAGACCCTCGGACTGGCGCGGGGCAGCTCTCCCCGGGGGGGCTAGGCGTGTGGACACAGAGACAAAGCGAGAGACACACAGAGAGACAGAGACACAGAGACACAGAGACACAGAGACACAGAGACACAGAGGCACAGAGACGCAGAGACGCAGAGACGCAGAGACACAGAGACACAGAGACACAGAGAGAGAGACACAGAGACACAGCGACACAGACACAGAGACTCAGACACATCTAATGTGAAGTGGAAGATAGAGGAGGAAGACGCGTCCATGTAGTGGAGCGAGGTACTGGAGGAAGTGCATTGGAAATATGACTCGCTTGCTCCACGTGGTATGCTCTGCAAACATGCTCTGCCGCAAACGTACACGCAATAGCACGCAAACGTCATCGCGCTCGCAATCAATCTCAGTCTCACACGCCATCGCACACGCGACCGCACACGCGCACACGCACGCGCGCACACACGCAGAGAAGCGCGCAAACGCAGACAAGCACGCACGTGCAGAAGCGCACGCATGCAAGCAGGCAGGTAGGCAGGCAAACATGCAGGTACGCACACTCACCCGCGCTTTCGTACATAGCGTTGCAGAGCCGCTTGAGTCCCTACACCCTTCCATGGTGTTAAACGTTAAGCAAAGCTTGGTTGTGGTGGGTTGTATCAAGTGTACCATCAGGAAGCAGTCTCCGGTTCTGAATCTCAGCGGATCTAGGCCTGGACTCCTGGATGGCAGCGAGTCCCCAAAGTTGGCTCCCCGGAGGGCCCTTGTTTTTTTTGTTTTTTGGAGGTTTCTGAGCGGTTTGTTGCAGTTTTGTTGAATGTTGCCATGTTGCTGCTGCCTGATGACCACGGCATCTTCGGAAGAAACACTTTGTTGGCCAGTTGGTCTGGCTTTGGTAAGTTTGTTATATGTTGAGGCTCGTGTATTGGCTGCAAGGCATGTGTTTTGGAGCAACAGCGGGATCCCTGTTCCCATCGACAGCATCGTAAAGCCAGGCAGCGGCGGGGGAAGTGGGGGAGATCTGAACCGGCAAGCGATTTTGGGATGGACGAGTTGTTGGATTTGAGGGCTTGTGTCTTTTTGGGTTGATTGAGCAGGGTTTCAAGTACATGGCGCCGCATACCTCTGCAGATTGACACTGCGACAGTGGACAATTTGCTAAGTTTGAAGCACCTGCGAGATTGCCAAGCACAGGACTGGCATCTTCCAGATCTAGAGAATGCGTTACGCCCCCAGCGCCCCCAGTTGGCAAGTGCACAGCCGCACAGTCCGAGAATCCGTCGTACCCGAGGCCCGTAGCTGGCGTCGGAAAACTGGGGCCTGGGACCTGGGTCTCCATGTTTGGCAGGGGGCTTCTGAAGCCGTCCGGCTTGGTTGGGCTTGGTTGCCGGGTCAGAAGCCGCTTCACAGAAGACTCTGTCAAGGAGCCACCCTTTCTATTTTCTTTTAAATCTTGGACACGGAAATACGTTGGAGGTGAGCCATTGGACGTCGACCATCTCGGCAAGACTTCAGCCCGTCGGCCGGCCACTGAGAGTTGAGGAGTTGTTCGATTTCAAGCCCAGCATCCGGACGACAAAAGGCTTCCGTGTAGTTAACGTGCGTTGTGCACCCTTGCGCGGGCGCGGGTGATGGTGTAAGCGACAGCTGAGGCGACGCATTGACTTCCGGCGGCGAGGCTGATGTCGATGTCGGAGCCTGCGATTGCGATGAGGATGATGCAGACACGTCTGGCGGTGGTCTTCTCAGTGCTGCGCGAGAGGCTTGCTTTCACCCATCAGGCATAGAGTGACATGAGGTGAGGGTTCTCCCCCAGCAAGCCCTTCAAGTCAAGGGAACCAGGCCGCGCTTTCACTGGTGGATACTGGTGGTGCTGCTACTGTCTCTAGGCTACTGCTACGGGTTGCCTCGCTGCCGCTGCTTTCTTGGAAGGTGCCCTTTTCTCCCTGGAGGTCGAGTGACCCTGGGCACTGACATGAGCGCGTTCAATTTGGGATCTTGCAGGATGAGACTTCATCTAGAGCCCACACCCGGCTTCGCTCAAAGCCAGGTATGTATGGGTGCAGTGTAGATTATTCTCAGGTATAAAGTTTCACGACTCAAGACGTACTGCTTGGGGCTTCGAGCACGAGGTTATGCTTGATCATTCTTGGAACCAAACAATTAGAATACCCATCTCATATCACCAGGGTTGAAAGCAAAGTGACAACCTTCAGCCGTGAAGGCTTGACGGAACAAGCCAAGCCGAATTTTGAAACCCCAGTCAGGGAAAGCTATGAAAATGCCAAGCTTAAAAAACAAGTCCCAAGCCTCTAAGCCATAAGTTTGAAGCATTCAGCTGCAGTTAAAACCCTAAAGCTGTTGCATTGATCATGACCTAAGCCCTTTGTTTGGTGCCTTGAGCCCTAAATCATTAAATCCTCCAAGAGGTTAAGTCGGAAGCCAGTGGGCCTTAATTCTTTGCCGAAAAATGTATATTTTGTGGTCCATCCATGACAGAGAGAGAGACCGGTAAGAGCGCTGATAGCGAAGACCATGTTGTCACATCGTGCAGAGAATGGGACTACAGTTGGAGCGCAATCGCGTGAAGGGCTTACCCTTCCAGTTCTGCTTGGCATCTGCTGATTTATGAGCCCGCTCAGGCCCAAACAAGCTTGGGCGGTCAGTGGGGTTCAGGGTCGTAGCAGTAGCAGAGCTAAGCTTGCAGCAGCGGCAGGAGTAGTAGTATTGGCAGCAGCAGTTGTAGGATTCGTGGTAGACATGTAAGATGAGAATTAAAGACCTCAAAGATTCGGCACCTTCAAAACTCTAAGTGAAATATGCATAGTGTGGAGAAGGGTGGGAGAGGCAGTTTGCAGCATCTGGAGCCTCTAATGCACGGTTTGGACCGGTAAAAGTTCAGAAACGACTGCAACGAAAAACATGTGGATCCATTTGGAGCGTGTGGGCAACTAGAAATGCTGCAGTTGCAGCGTGTTCTGCCCTTTTTTGATGTCCGGATTTTGCCTGTAAGTCGTTTTAGATCCTTCCCCTTACCCCTAACTTGTTTTTCGCAGTTCTTCAACACATTTTTATCTTCTGATTTAACTTTGATTCTTGATGCTTCTTAGTTTTTTTAGGCAGGGGCCCGGTGGACCCTCTTTATAAAATTCCACATGGCCAGTGCAAACCTCAGAACAACTAGCACCGACAGACAACTACTTGCGGGCGCTTCCGACCGGGGGGGTCGGCGGATGTGCCTTTTTTCGTCGCTTGTGATGTGACCCATGAAATCCGAGGACGTGAAAGCCCACTCCAAGCAAGGAGCCTTGCAGGCGCTCGGGACGCTTTCGGGAACTTGCAGACTCATCAGTCCGTTGAAGGCTAGCGGTTTAACATCCGTGCAAGGTCTTTTTTGGAGTGTTTTTGCTCTTCTTGCCGAGGGTCTGGGGAAAGGTGGATGATTGCGTTCTACCAAGGCAGCGTTAAGGCTGCAAACCTCAACACTTGCAACTAGAGGTCCGACACAGTGCAAGACTTGAGACTCTCGGCAATTTGAGATTGCGATGTCAAGGGACTCTGCTTACAACTTTGGATTCAGGGGTCGAAGAGGTCGAACATTGAGAGAGTTAATGTCTTTTTGTTTGACCCTGTACAGCGTCCCCAACTTAAGGCATCAGGTTGCACGTCCTCCGAAAGTCAAGCCAACTGTTGGGCCCGAACAACGCTGCAAGAGCAAGCCTTTCACTTAGGCAAAATATGCACGCACGTGCATGCCCCCCCCCCCCCCCCAAGAAAAACAATAACAATTGCCAAACGAGAGCCTTGTATCTGGCTTCCCGACGCAACGCAACGCTTCATCTCATGAGAGTCCTTCTGCAAGAGGCGCTGAAGAGTCGACGCCGCAGGCTAAAGTCTCGGACCACTGAAAGGGCCAGCCGGGATCCCCGGTTTCCAGCTTTTTTCTTCAAGCCAGTTGTTTGGAGGGTTTTGGGGGCGCCAGGATTCGGAACTTGAGGTGATAACTTTGTGGCACTTTAAGGCGCCCTGATTGCGGAGTGTTGATGCCAAACTTGCCTGGGCTGAGGCACCACGATCCTACATACCGTGTCGGCCCCTCAATGTGGATTGAGAGCTTCTGTCCAGAAGCCCTCAGGCGTCAGCTGCGGTTCGGGCACTTTTGGTGCTTTTGGTGCTTTTGGTGCTTTTGGCGCTTTTGGTGCTTTTGGTGCTTTTGGCGCTGTTGGCGCTAGGTAGGGATTTTGAGTTCTTCTGCCAGCTCTGCATGCCAGACAATCCCCTCCGAGGTGGGACTTGGGCAACTCTTCCGAGGACAGCAATGCCTGCGAAACTGTCGCGGAGGCCCGACATGCCTGTACTGGCGTACACCTGGCCATGGCATTCGCTCGTGCTCAACTTGTGCTCAACTTGCCAAGGAGCAAAAGCTGGAAACTCTCCGCGTTTGAATGTCTTGTTATGTCTTGTTTCACCGCACTCGAACAGCTGCTTGATCTCAGCAGATGTTTTTCCCGCGGGAGGTAGCTCGCCTGTTATCAATCCTGCGCGTTTTCATTGACTGGCCGAGGGTCACTGATGGTTAATCCAGAGGTCCCGAGAAGTCAAGTCCGGATGCAGCTGACTCCGCAGCGTCCCACTTCCTCTCCATCACATCCCTGAAACATCCGGACGGGCTTGGCTGCGTCGTGCTATATTTCTATCTGGACATCAGCGCGCCACCGCAACAAAAGAAGCCCGGTCTCGCAAACCCAAAGCAGCCCCAAGGCCAGCCTACAAAGAGCTATCAACTTGCTTCAGCGCTGAACCTCTGCCCGCTGTTTCGAATGTGCTAGCCATCGCAGCCTTTCCGGCATACGTTCCTGGTTTCATGCCTTTGACAACCGGCATTTTGGCTCCAGATGCGTCTGCGTAAAACCAGACTGAAAGTCGATGCCGAGAGTCCAGGCTGGACGTGGAGAGGGTCGTGGAGATGGTGTGCATGTGTGCTCCTAGTCATACACTCACAAGTCTGCTCGGTACACTCTCACTCCGTGAGCGAGTGGTGGCTCGAAGCCTCGCGCAGTGCTGGGTGGTGGTCTTCCGTTGCTCACGCCTGCTGCTCGGTAGCAGGGATGGCGTGGCGCGGACCTACCAGGTTTGTTCTGCGTGAAGTCTGAATTGCTTCTGCTTGCAACACCAAGGTGTCATGCGCTGGGGCTTTGAGTGGATCATTGATCTGAAGGTGGCATTCGGCTGGCAGTTCCTTTGCTGCAGTGATGCTTGCGTACATGCACGACTTTGCTTGATGGTCGTATCACTAAGGTTTTTGCTGACAGTTGTGTACTACCACCATGTGCTGAAAGGCTTTGTGTTGATTTACGCCTTCACATCCTTCGACTGGGTTCTTGCAAGCTATCATGTACGTGGTCCTCGTTTGCAGGCCCTCAAGACCATCGCATTCCTGCCTTGGGTTCTGAAGCCTTTGCTGGGCATCATCAGTGACATGTTCCCAATCTGCGGCCTCAACAAGGCGCCCTACTTCATGTTGGCGACTTTGGTCGGATGCCCTGCATGTGCCCTCATCGGCTTCCCGGGCTCGATGCCCACTTTGCCCAGTTTGCCCACTTTCGCGGCTGTCACAGTCGCAACGAACGAGGCTGCTACGGTCTTGGCTTTCTTCTGCGTCGGCCTTCAGATCTGCACCTGTGACCTTCTGTTGGAGGCTGCTGTGGCCGAGCGTGTGCGGAACCTGCCGGATCGGGGTCCACTCCTCATGGGCTTTGTCACAGGGGGCCAGACTGTGGGGGAGGCTGTTGCTATCAGCACGGTCGGCTGGGTGTTGGAGGCTCTGGGACCACGCGGCCCATGCATGATCTCTGTGCCCTTGATAGCACTTGCATTCGTCCCAGCTGCCTTGAACTGGCTGGATGAGTCGAGGCGCTCCGACACAGAGACTGCAGCAATCCGAAAGGCTTTTTTTGTGGCCCCGCCAAATGCGAAGACAACTGGAGGGGAGCTTCCTTTTCTGGTTGCTGCCATGGGCCTCGGCTCATTGGCGATACTTTCTGTGGCCACCAGCACGGATGTCAATATTGTGGATGCTGCGGACCCGGTGACTGAATCCGCACACCAGTTGGAGCTCATAGCCTTCGTTGCCTTCCTCATCATCGTTGCCTTCAGCTGCCTGTTGAATCCGATTATCGGCCGCTTGAATGCCTTCTTCTTTCTACAGAGCACATCTACCATATCGGTGGAAGGGGGAGCCTTCTATTTCTTCACAGACGACTCATCTTCTTTCCCTATGGGGCCGCACTTTTCAGTGTGGTTCTACACCACCGGTCTCGGAATAGCTGCGAGCTTCTTTGGCATCGTTGGCCTTTGGATGTATAGCACCTTCATGACGAACTGGAGCTATCGAGGCGCGCGGGGTTTTGGACACATTTGCTTGTGAGAGCCTGGGAGCCTGAGAGCCGCCCCCCCCCCCGCTTGACTTGCAAGCCAGGTTTGTTGTACTTGTCCAACGCACTTTGGTGCGTTGTCTCGAGCGTGTCCGTGGTGGTGTTCACGCGCAAGAATGTGGAGTGGGGCATTCCGGACACCACTTTCATGTTGGGTGGCACCGTCCTGCAAAACGTCTTCGCCCGATGGGCCTACATACCTGGAGGCCTCCTGCTGTGCCAAGTATGTCCGCCGGGCCTTGAGTCCACGATGTTCGCCCTTCTGGCGGGGTGTCACAATCTGGGTCGGTCGGTGGCTTCCATTGTTGGCACATTCCTGCTGGCGTACCTGGGCGTCGAGCCGGACGGCACAATCCATGACCGTCACTGCTTCGATCGTTTGTGGGTGGCGGCGGTCTTTCAAGCGCTAGCACCTTTGATTACCTTGTGCATCATCCCCAGCATGATTCCGAATGTCTCCCAGACTGAACGCCTGGACCTGAAGTATGGAGCTGCTGGTGACACGGGTGGTCTAGCAGAAGACTTAGGTCCTGCACAAAGTGTGGCAGCCGCCACTCGAGACTCTGTGTGGTCTCTGGGTGGCATGTGGTTCACATCAGAGACGTCCATACAAAGGGGGAGTGTGAATTCAATTGGCGCTCATCTTCCGGAAGTGGCATACGGAGCAACCTCAGAACAGGCTCGCAGTGTTGCGATTGTGTATGGTAGCTTCTATTCGCTGCTCGCCTTGACCTCTAGCAGGATATGGTGGCATCATGTTAAGTGAGCCTTGAAACTTTGCAGGCGTCGCTGTCGTCCCTCGACGAGGCTGGCACTGGTGGCAGCGGCCGGACGCTGGGACATGAAATCCCTCACGGCCCCAACCCTCTAGGTACTGGCAACTCGCCAAGCTTTGGTCAAGGGACCAGTAGCAGGGACCTTACGGGCAATCTAGGGCTACGTAGGTTAAATAGGGATTACAGAAGGTATAGATGGGGGTTCTAAGAGGGGAGTAAGATTGAGGGTCCCTTCTAGGGGTTCCTCCAGTAATTTGGAGCTTCGGTGGAGATGTCAGATGTTTTCGGTGTCTTCCCTCAGGTCTCTCGACGGCGAACCTGCGTCCTGATGCACGCATACGCTCTGCTGCAGAGCCCAGAGCGCAATCGCTCTGCAAGCTAGCAACCCAACAACATGCCTCCAGCTTTGGGCTGCAAAAGAGGGGAACTGCTGTTGCAAACCCCTTGAGGAGCGTCAGTCAGCCGTCAGCTGCCCCTACTCTTGGGCTATGTCGTAGTCATTGCAGTACCCCATGACTTGTGCAGGTTCGATGCCATGACTGCCGGGCTCTTTGAGTATCTCGCCTTGCGATGTCATTTCTTGTGTTTTGTGCAAGTCCTTTGTTGCCCAATTCTGATGCACATGATGGGCCTTTTGATGCATTTGGGCTCAAGTCACCACGTATCCGCGTGACAGGCTTAAGGCGCATACGGGCAGAGTGCCTTGGACCCAAGGAAAGACTTGTCCTCCATGGGGCGCTCAATGGGATCACTGTGTTACCGGAGCTGAGGCAAAGATGCACAGTCCCGGCCGAAGCCGGCAGGTGGGAAATGGCGGATCCTGTCCATGCCTTCCCACATCTGTGCACATGCGCCAGCCCGGCGACCGCGAGATCCTCTTGCTCCGTGAGCATCTGGACCTTGGGCTTCAACCGAAAATACTGCGAAAGACTAGACTTCGGCTAGGAGTGTGGGACTTTGGCTGGGGTTGTGGGGGATGCTGGTGTCAGCCGAGGACCGAAAGCACTTGAGGCTGGAGAAGATGATCCGAGCCAGCACCCGACAGGCCTTTTGACAGGTGACGTGAACAGTCTGATCAGCTCTGGTCTGAGCTCTTGGGTGCTGCAGGCAGCTACTGCCACAGCGTCTGCACTGCAGCCACTTAGACACGAAGACCGGTTTTTGATGGTTTTTTGCAGATTGCGGGCGCTTTTCCGAGGCACCAGCTGGCTATCATGCAGAAGAATCTCCTTGTAAGCTTGCAGGGGAATGGCTTCCAGGCCGCGATGCCCTGAGTAGCCTGAACCCTCAGCCAGAAGCCCTATATCATCCCACACCTAGAAGGAACGAAGAATCATCATGACCAGGATGAACTTTTTGTGTCAGCAAATGCCAAATGCAGGCCGCGAGGCCTCACGCAGTGCGCTAGGCACACAAACTCTTTAGCGCGTGGCTCGCCTCGGCCAGGGTTCGTGGCACGGCAGTGGCGAGGCATCTTGCCACTTCCAGGAAAGCTCGCCGAGCGTTCTGGAGGTCAGGAGGGGTAGCCGAAGGCGGGCGAGGGGTAGGAAATGGATAAGGGAGGTGAGACGAAAGAGCAGGGTTAGAGGGGGGGGACAAGAGGGCGGCCAAAACATGTGAAAGGCGCAGGAAAGATAAGGGGTGCAAGGGTGAAGAGAAGGGGAGGAAGGGGGAAATGGAAGGGACGTCCGCTCGCGGACACCTGTCCACCTGTCCGCTGGGTGCCCGTTAAGGCGGAGCCCAACAGATGGAGGGATTAGAGGTGGGGGACCCGTTTATGTTCCCCAGATACCTACGGCCCGAGGCCTCGACGGAGTAGTTCGAACAGCTCCCTCAGAACCCTTGTCACTGTCCAGGGCACCTTTGCCGCCAGGATGGCTCCAATCCATTGCCAGGAGCTTTGCCGAGCCCGACGACTCTGAAGCACATGTCCTCGCGCCTTGCCTGAGCCGGGCACGGGGTTGCAGCGAGCAGGCTCCTCGACTCCTCTGGATGTTCCAAGGTTGGCAAGCCTGGAGCGCTTCACCACGGATCCCTTCAGAATCTGGGCTGCGTCACAGGGAGCCGTGAGCTTTTAGAAAGGACTGGAGCCCGCCAGTGCCCGCCAGTGCCAAGGCGACTTTGAAGAGGATCCCGTGAGTGACGACGACGAGGATGCAGCACGGCTCCGCTACGAGAAGTCCAGGGCTCAGAAGGCAGAGGAAGGCAGAGTAGGAACATGGGCAGGAGCGCAGACATCTGTTTCCTGCGAGCCCCATGTGGGGAGCCGTTGCAGACAAGTTGCAGAGTTTCTTTGCTGCGGGATTTAACTTACCAGTAGTTTATCAGCCGTCGGAAGGGCGTGAGCCATGTGAAGTGCTGCAAGGACACACACATGAAACTGAAGAAACACATGTCCGGTCATCAGAAGTCCGGCGGGAGCATTGCCGACAAGGATCCGTCACCGAAGGGGGGGGTGGAGGTCCCGATCTGAACGCTTCCACTTGTTCTATGACTCAGACATTGAAAAACGTATCTGTGTGAGTGAATGATGATGCTCTGTCACAACATGTCACAAACTTCACCACCTTACGACACCGAAACACATCTAAACTCTCCAAAATCCCAAGTTGCCGCGTCTCATGGCGTCTCTGTCGAGGTCCTCAAGTTTCAAGACGGGCAGATCAGACATAGAGGACGAGGGAGGTTTACAGAAACCATCAATGCTGTTGGCGACTTTCTCTGCAGGAGACCGTGAAGAATGCCTGGCAAGAGGAGGCTGCTGGGGCGCTGCTGGGGCAGTTGGAAGCAAGCTTCCTACCCTCGCCCTCCCCCTCCCCCTCGCCCTCCCCCCCCTCCCCCCCCCTGTGTAAGTGTTGGGCCACTGCTGCCGTCATGCGATTTGGCCGTGTCTGACTTCTGGTGAGAGACAGACACCACACACATGCCTTGAGGGTCATTGCACTTCATGCTGCTCGGGTTTGCCCCGGCTGGGTGCCCGGCTGGGCCTTGCACTTCACATGCGCCGCTGCTTGCTGCGCGGTGCTTGCCAATGGCTTCGCCGCTGGTAAGACCCCCAACCAAGCATGTGGCAAATCTCTCGCTCACTCTGAGTCGTGCCCACAATCTTCAGCTGGTGGTCATCGTGTTCCACGCAGATTCGTCGACGCTTCCACGTGTGATTGTGCTTGCCCAACTTGCGTGTGACACATTGCTTTTACCAGCGAGACTTTCTTTCGATCCAAGGTGTGCCTTCCTCTATGATTGTCGGCAATGGTCGCATAAGTACCGTACTTCCTCATGGTGCTTAAGCACATCTGTACTCTCGATCAAACAGTTCTTTGAAAGGGGTCTTTCCATCTTGGACGCGCGCTGTTTGCACGCTGTTTGCTCCTGTAAGCGCCTTGCTGGGCCTTGCACGTGCTGCGCACGATAAGTACGTCGCCGCAATCAGCGCCCCCAATCAGCACCCCTTCTTTCGTGGCCAGTTGTGCGAGTCTGAGACGCTAGAAGTGCCCAGCACATGGGGACACACAGCCGTCGGAGCATCCTGCACATGTTCGGGGCTATGCGATCATCCCGGGTGGCTGCTTTGCGTCCCTTTGCTCTGGTGCATGCGGCGCTTGACGAATCGCAAGCTCACGCTGGCACAGTCAGCACTTTTTTCTCCTCCAGGCTTTAGTTACTGCATCAACCGTGCATCCTCTCTCCGGCGCTTGCCAACTTGAACTTCGAGTGGAGACGATGGCGGTTGCGGAGTCCTTTGTGAAAGCCGTGAGGGGTGGCCGGTGCTTTAGACACGGTATCCCTGAAGTCGTCACTTTCTCCATTCACTAAACAGTCCCTAAAACCTCACCCGTCACCAGGGCCCCCGGCCGTGGCCAGGAAAGGGAAGCAGAAGCATCTCCTCGCGGCCCTGGCGCCCTCGCTTCATGCCGGCACCAAGGGATGCTTGATAAGGTTTTCGCGCAGGATTTGGCCTTGGTTGGGGGCTGGGGTTCTGCCGCTCATCTGCCAGTTTCCTTCTCCTTGGCAGAAACCAACCCATGTCAAGCCAGTGACGCAAAGGAGGATGATGACAGGTTCAGGGACGCTTCTCAGCAGCATGAAGATGTGAGCTTAGAAAAGAATTGGCCTTTGCCGAGGCGGCCTGGTCACAGTTCTGCTTTTGTTGGCAGGTTCTGACCTGCTTAGGGATGTGTAGGGTTTCGATGAGTCCAGATCAGATGGGTTGGCAGATGTTGGGAGTTTAGGGAAACTGGCGCTGTAGTGAAGTGTGGCCTGAGGGTGACAAGGAGTTTCTCCAGAAGAAGCGACAAATGGTCGTGAGGCCCAACCTCGCTTGCAGGATGTGAAACATTGTAGGTTTGTCACACCCTGTAGACAGTAGACTGTGGTGACCTCCTTAGACTTCAAGCCCTAAACTAGCCTATGTGCTATGGGAAGGCGGAACAAGCTGGATGAGAACATGCCGGCTTGGCGCCAGTTCGCCAGGCAGAGCGCAGCTCTTGCAGTTATGAGAGTCGCTTCTGTGGTGGCATCTGCAAGTGTCAAGTAACAGGTGCCTTCTTGCAGCCTACATCCCCCAAGCCTACTACCAAAGTGTGCTACTGCACTCTCCATGAATCCGATGCCCCTCAATCCCCTTCCACAAGCCACCACTGGCAACCCCCTGTGAATGCTACAGCCTTGCCAGGAAAGTGGTTTTCGACTATCGCTTCGAGTGCCAGCCTTTTCAGGGTTTGGGCTTTCGGGCTTCAGGGTTTCTGAAAGATCGACTGGTCTTGGGGCTTTAGGTTTGTACACGTAACATGGGGTTTCTAAGTCTACTAATCTACCAAAGGGAAAGTGTTTCGAGTTGCAAGTTGCTCGTTTTTTCGGGAGCGTGGGGGGAGGGGGGGAGGGCTTTGGGCCTTCTCTCGCGGATGACTGAGCACCTGAGGTGGCTCGTGTCCTTCCTCGTTGTGTTCAACTCGCTTCTCGTGGGAATTGAAGCCCAGTGGGGCCTCGAGAACCTCAGCCAGGTGGGCAAACCGGGGGCAAACCGCGAGCAGGGCAAACATGGTGAAGCGGTGAAAGGTAGGCGAGGGGGTTCTGGAACTTCTGAGTGGCATGGAGTGGCATGGAGTGGCGTGGAGTTTCAGCCTCCTTAGCCATCTGATGGCAGGACCCGCATTGGCTGCTGCGCACGCTGGACATCATCTGCAATGTGTGCTTTGCTGCTGAGTTGGCGCTCAGGGTCGCAGAGCCTCGCTTGCAAGCTGATGCTAACCCCGTCCCGCTTAATCCCGAGAACCTCCCACGGCCTTCTCCAGAATCTAACTTTCTCTGAGGAAGCTGACCTCAACCGTGCATGCGGAAGCATGGGGACAGCTTGTGAAGGCTTGTTGTACGATCCGCGAGCAGAAAACCCGTGATTCGTGAGCCGATTATTGGGTGTCTGCGTGGCGGTTGGAACTTGGTACCGCAGTCCTCCCCGCAAGCGCAGATAGGAGCAGTAAGTGCACATGCTGTAATCACTTTTAGCTCTGAAGAGTCGCAGGTCGAAAGCATGCCCTGAATCTTGAACCTAAATCAAACGCAGCGGCAAGCTCCGCCGCACTTCAGTGTGACCGGGCCCTCACTCAAAGAACTGCAATGTGCTGCCTGTCAACATATCCAAGGGAACTGAACCACACAGAAGCAGTTGAGACAAAACGCAACACCTTTCTGATCCTTCTTCCGGAATGAACGCGAATGTTGTGAATGCAAACAAGGCCGATTGCAAGTTCTTCATTTCATTGGTGAACCCGTCACTGCTCCTCGGCCACACGCCATCTGTCAGTGAAAGCCAGCAAGGATCGCGCTGCAATCGAGGTACTGGAACCTGCTGGACATCTTCCTAGTGACGCCAGTGTCCAAGGCTCTTGTGACAGTAGAATGCGGGAGTTACTCGGGAAAGGCGGCTCTGCCATGCAGTCGGCTGAGGTTTGGATGGTTCGAGGAGATTATACTCCTAATTGCTGCCAGCGAGTCTTCTTTGGATATGCTGCCCGGCTGCAATGGCCGAGTTCTAAACCTGCGCTCGGAGTTGCCCTATCGCCCCAAGCCCCGAAGTCTAAACAGCAGGTCTGTGCTGAGATTGCTTCGTATGGCACGGCTCCTTCGCAGCTTGCCTGTACCGCAGCATGTCATGTCAGTGAATCCGCAGGGGGTGTTTTCCTGGTGTTTTCTCGAGAGATCTGTGAGGCGTTGCCCGCATTCTTCGAGTGGTGCGCTTCTTTAGCGACCTGCGTGTGATGGTCAATGGCATCAAGGCCTCCTCACGCGCGCTTCTGTGGTCCATTGCGCCTTGGCGATTCGAGATGTAGAGGGCCCAACATGGGTAGTAACGGTTTGGATTCAGATTCCCTCCATCCTTCTGTCATGGGGTCTGCAGGAGTCCCTTGGTCTCGACGGAATTCTAGAAATTCTGTTGCATTGTGCTGCGAAGCCGGAGCTTGGTAGGGTAGACAGGTGCCGCTGTTTGGGTGCTTGGAGGACATTCTCTGTTCGAAGACATCCGCGACCCTTTTCGAGTTTCTCATCTTTGGTTGTTTTTCAATGTCCGCGAGTGCCTTGTTGTAGTATCACTCGCTCATGCTCACTCCCACAAACGCGTTGTATTACTGTCAATTGTTGGCCCCTTTGCTTGCACACCTTTACTGGTGATTGGTGCTTTGGCTGTGTTCCTTTTCTTCACACAGACTTTTCGTATATACTGAAAGAGTTTCCATGAATATCACAGAGGCTCTTCCTATTTGATTCCAAGATCCGGCTATGGCAATCTTAAATCAGCACAAGTAGGGAGTGATTGTGAGAAGAGCGGCTCGATCATACTGAATATGTACGGGTTCATAGGCATAAATATATTCAAAGAGGCCCACAGCAATTCTAGCAATGAACTTTTTGCGGGGATTGACTTTTGAGTCCTGTCCAGTGACATCAACGGTTTCTTCAGACAAGCACGGACGTTCCCTCGCAGAGCCACCAACACTTTGAGAGAGTCATTGTCTCAGGCCGCTGTTTCTTGCACACTGTCACAACGACCATTCCTGACGGATTCACGCATACATGCTTCAGGCAAGCTGGCCAACGAAGCATCACATCATACCTACATTCCAGCATAGCATGCGTACACTTGCACGCAGCTGGGATCTGATGGGTCGAGCATAGACTGAAAGGCTTGTGGAGGATTGGGGAGGATTGGGGAGGATTGGGGAGGTTTGGGGAGGATTGGGGAGGATTGGGGAGGATTGGGGAGGATTGGGGAGGATTGGGGAACTGATGAAGAAGAGGTGGCTTGAGCTCATTTCCAGCGCCGCTGCGAAGGGGATTGACCGGAGCAAACACTAGCCTGCCCAGTGTGTGGACGCATGCCCACATGTGACGTGAGGTTAAGCTGTGGGCTGGAAGGCTTTAGGGTGCTGCGGTTGCCGAATCTGAACTAAGGTGCTCCTCACTCTTGTCACAAACTTAGCTGCGTGAATCCTGGTAGTCCCAAGGTCCACAAATGTCAGTATTCCTGCGTCTGAGGTCACGTACGTCTTCGGCGTGACCTTCATGCAGCTCTCTCGAGCGCACTTGGAAGAAACGGGGAAATTGGACAGCAACCTGCTGGTGTACTATGGGACGTGCCCAGACACGAGTTATTAATTGGGATGTTCCCCCTACTACTAACAGTCCTTGAGAGGGATTATAGTACCCCCCCCCTTTCAAAATACTTATTAAGGATTGCTAGCGTAGTGTAAAGGGGAACGTCCCAAGTTTGTTGGCATATTTTGGGGCATGTTTTGGGAGGGCTGTTTGTGTGATGCACAACCTGATGCACAAGGTTGCCACGATCTGTCCTCACGCTGTTCATGACAATCTCAGGCCGCCCATTAAAGCCATGGTAGAGCCTTCAGAGGTGCAGGAGCATGAGCTGCGCGATGCTGCGCGTTCGGAGGTGGCATGCTGTGGAAGGAGGCTTTGAGCCCGCTCGGCGAGATCCACTGGCTGTTAGACGTGGTGTTTCTCATCTACATCTTCTGCACCGCACTTCGGCAGCTGTTGTTGTTGTTTTGTTGTTGTTTTTTTTGCTTTTGGAGGGCGGGCGGCGGGGGGGTACCAAGACATCTTGAGAACAGATGCAGATGTGCACTGCTGGCTAGGCTGCATTGAAGTCTTCAAGCACTCGCCTGCCCCCCTTGCAAGCTACTCCCAAAGGCCCAAAGGCCAATCGAAGAAAAGGAGCGAAATGGGCAGGAGTTGAGAAATATGGAAGAGCTGTGGGGTTAATTGTAGTTGTGTTTTTCTTTGCTTGTGCCTGCCCTGCTTTTTCGGAAAACATGCTCAGTCGGGGTTTTTTTCTTGTCTTGAGAACAGCTTCATTCTTTGTTCTGGCTTGGCTGCGCAGTGGCCCGTTTGGGCTACTTCGGCCGAGACCAGGCGACGTACTCGCTCATGTCAACCAGGGGCTTGAACCGCCGTAAGCCAGGTGCACGGAGCGTGCGCGGTGGCCCGTTCTATGCCACAGGTTCGGCCACTCCCACTCCACCCACTCACCACGGCCGAGCGCCGGCATCTCGGCAGAGCAAGGAGTAGCAGCTGGATAGCAGAGGTCCCGTTGCTGCACCTGACGACGGACGCCCGGGAAGGCGTGCATGAGCGAAAAGATCTTTGCCTTGGCATCATGGTCGGGCAGCTGCAGGAACAACGCTGCCGTCAAACACCACCACTCCTGCCATTTGTCGCGGTTGGGGGCTCTCGCTGCACGTTGATTCAGCCCGGTGTAGTTGTCAACATACCGTTGTGCCCGGCTCCTTGTTCTTTTCGTCTCCCCTGTGTTGTTGTCTTGCAATGCATTTGGAGTTGCGCCCCCCTGCGGCCTTGTCGCTCCTAGAGCCAAGCCAGAGTTGGCAGCTTTGATGTACAGCAGCTCAACCCTGCACTTCACGGTTGGCAGCCATGGCCCTCTCACCTTTTGGGGTTTCGAGTTAGAGCTTGCCGCTCAACGGGCTTCAGGTTCACAAGCTGGCATCTCTGTGTGGGGCTCCGCCAACAAGAGCTTCTGTCGAAGGGATTAGCATCTCGCATTGGGGTTAATGAAGCACTTCCCAGGGCAAGATCTGTGGCTCTGGCAAAAGAACTCGTAAGCAAAGAGCAAGTGCAAACAAACAAGAAATAGACACCGCCGTGCTGAGCTACGCAACTCAGCAGCTCTGCAGTTCCATTGAGAGTTCCTATGCTTCACAACCAGGTGTTCTGCTGCTTGAATGTCATGACGGGCATCTTTGTGGAAGCCGCGCAGGCACGACACACGATGCAGAGTTGGGCACGCCCATAAACAAGGTACCGCGTGGCACACGTGAGAAGGCAGATGCAAATCCTGAGTTTCTATAGTTTGTGCATGGTTTGTACATGGTTTGTACATGGTTTGTACATGGTTTGTACATGGTTTGTGAAAAGAGCCGTTTGAGCAGCAGGTCACAAAGAAGACCGACGAATCTGTGGTGCAGCAGGAGCTGCAAAAAGAACGGAAGCAGTGGTTAGCAACGCAGCTGCAACTGGACCTTCGTTGCGTTGCTGCAAGAGGCCGCGCCCACGTTGCTGGGGTGTGATAGAACCAAATCCCTAAGCCTGTCTAAGCCTTTGGCACCAAGACGAAGACTCCCACCAGAAGCCGATGCCAAACGCACTTTTTTATAGCTTAAGCCAGCACACAATCTTGATTTCCCACCAGGACATGCTCGGCAGGACGCCTTCCGGTCCGTGAACATAGGAACCTGCCGCGAGCAAATAAGGCCAAGGGCTAGTCTGGTAGGGATGGCACGGCAGGGGTATTCTCACCCAAAAGACAGTTGGCCCTGACACCACGATCCTCAACGCCGTACAGTTTTCTTGAGCCCTATATACTGGATCCTATTGGTGCAAGGCAGATGTTGCGGAGCTTTTCTACCGCGTGGATGCCGACAGCTCAGGCTGGGGGTTTGGGGCTTCGGATGTCTCAGGCTACTTTCAGTTTTGAGGAGAGCGCAAGCTCCGCAGTCCACACGTCATTCTTGCCAGGCATGCACCCAAGATGAATTATTTTCATGGGGCTTCCATTGACGGCCCAGCACAGCGCTGTAACTGGTTCGTTTTCTCCACGGTAGACTAGAATGTCCATTCTTGGGCCTGATGCTATGCACTTCGGTGTTGTTTATGTGTCAGGCGATGTCACCAAGAAGGAGTTCTGCGACCAGCTCTACAGCGAAAAGGTCCAGATGCTATTCCGACGCCCGCATATGGAAAGTGACGTTGACTGTTGAGTGGCGCATTAGAGAGTACTTGGATCCGGCGTAGCCTTCATGCTGTGCCTCGCAAGCCGAGGCAAGCTTGGGATCGTTCCCGATGGTTACTCTCCTTCCGAGCTATGGGTGGCTCTTCTGAATCTTCAGGCAAGTGCAGTTGGAGAGATTTCCGTTGTTCATTTCTCTCTCAGGACTTGTTGGACATCACCCAGAGTGGAGCCATTGTGCAGGCAGATGCCCTTGTCTGCCTTCCCATCTGACTGTCGCATACTGTAGCGCTACTTCAATGAACATGTGAGAGCAGGCCGATTTCGCTCACGCTATCAGGCGCCTGGGTGAGATGTTGCACAGAGTGGTGGTTGACAGTTGCGTTTTTTTTTCGGGCGATGCGCAAATGTTGAGATCCAGCCTTGACTTTGACTTTGGCTGAGATTCTTCCAAAGTGAAGCCTTGGTCAAGCCAGTAGCCATGGCCTTTTGCCCTCTGACATGCCCCAGGCAGATGATGGGGCACGGTCGTGCCATTGACCTTTATAGGCACCTGCAGTCGCAGCTCCAGCCTTGTCCTGCTGGCAGTGCTATGTGAGTGTGAGGCTGAAGAAAGATGTTCGCGTCATATCGAGGCGCTGCATGCGCCTTCTGACAAGCGAAGGCTGCAGCACTTGACTCACCCTGAGGCAAATGAGCGACCTGAACAAGACAATGCCTGGGCCTGACCTGTGGATTGAGCACTGCTCAGATGCATGTTCCCCAGATATCCTTGATTGAGGCAAACCACGTTTGGAGATGACCGCTGACACAGAGCCTTGTGTGTCCTCTCGCGATTAGCTGAGCTGCAAAGAAGCTTCTTCACTCTCCGAAGGAGAATGAGATGCAAAGTGACTGTCATGTGCAATACGCAGTGGGCCTCAGTTGGTATGTGTTGGGCATTGAGCTGGGTAGCCACTCATCATGGGTGTTTCATACTCGATATTTCCAACTCTTCTGCTGCCCTGCGCCGTCTCATTGCCACGATGTCTCGTGACCGCTAACGTGCACACTCCGGCTACATCCGGCTACCGTTGCGCAGAGTTGATTTTGAAAGTTGTTTTTCGCCCAAGCCGGAAGCCGGAACGGACCAAAATGGACCAAATATGCATGACTTGGTGCAGCACATTATGATGGGTCCCTGCAGGATCCTTGCCGCGCCATTTTTCTTGGCCACTTCCCAGACTGAGAAGCTTGGCAGTTGCATAGCAGTCCTCGCAGGCAGAGCCTGCTGGCTGGAAGGGATTTATTCTGCGTGGAGAGACAAAGCTGCCCAGCCATCCCTGCCAGTCGGACACCCCCGAAACCTCAAGCTTTCCGCGTCACCGTGCTGCTGCCTTCCTCCGCTGAGGCTGTGGTGTCCATGGCACATCTACGATTCTTGTGAGCGGGTGGGCGCTAAAGCACTCTTGCTGCGAGATGCTTGGGAAAATGCTTGGGCTCGCGTGGGTCGTCCGACTCAGCAGGGAGTGGCCCCCCTAGCTTCAGCAGTGAAGGAATATAAGGAGGTGTTTGTTTCAGAGATGGACACTCTCGACTCTCAGTCTCCCGCAACGTTTGGGTCCAGAGCCAGAGCGATGCGCGATGCGGCGATGCTTCTGAATGGCGCTTTCGGGCACGGATCCCGGCTAGTCAGTCGCATCGCTGAACTGCTGGGCTTTCAAGTTTCCAGTGTGGTGCATTGCGCAGCCCACCAAGACCTGAGAGACGTGACAGGTTTTGCTGCTCTGGAAGTGAAGACTGTACCGCGTGAGCCCCAGCGAGGCCCCATGCTTTGTCCGTGGGACCCCATTCAGAGCTGTCTCCTGAGGCCATATTCCAAGAGAAGGCCCAGTCCACGGAACTTGCTGCAGAGGAGGAGGAGGAGGTGCCATGAGATTCTGCGGGTATGTTTGCAGCTCTGACTTTCAGCAATTCAGATGGCATGTCCACCTGGCGACAGGACGATGAAGATATCCATGACTTGCAGGCCAAGAGCTTACAGCCGACTCAAACCGGGGGAAAATGCTGCCAGAGTAGCAGTCAGCTGCTCGCAGTGCCAGCAGCTCGCAAGAATTTCGCAGTGCGCAGGGACCGCTTCGGATGTTTGCCCGGCCCTTCATTTCCTGCTTTCAAGCAACGCCCTCTGTTAAGGCTCTAAAGGCCCCAAAAGGCTCCGGACCGAGGTCGTGAGAGTAAGCCGCAAGGGCGATGAGCCCCTCGGCCTGGAGTTCGACAAGATGGATCCCGAGGCCCTTAAGCTCAGCACCGGATTGTTGGCTTATTTTTGGCATCTTTGTTTTTGGCATCTTATATACGGAACACGCAATATGTTGGAACGAGCAAGAGGGCTGATTTTTTTCTCAAGCGGTCTGACACCTTGAGTCCAACGCTTCAAGCCCAAAATGCGCCGTACCCACAGAACTTGATGGTGGCGAAGCTGACCCTGCCTGGGCTGATCGCCACCCACAACCAGAAAGCGGACAGCGAAAAAGTGGCTGCCGGCCCAGCTGTGGGATCCATGACAGGGTTGTACAGAGTCTTGGTTTTGGTAGGGTTGAGGGAAAGTTGCAGTAGAGCTTTGTGGTCATGCTTGTCACAGAGCTGCAGAGCCAGCCGCCCAGGTCTGCCCTGGGGATAGAATCAAGAAAGTGAATGGCAAGGAGGCATTGGCAGAAGACGCCTGGCTCTGATAGCGTGGCGCAAGCATCTTTCTTTGGAGTGCCTTGTTGGTAAGCATGCCAAACCTTGACTCCCTAGATTGCACAGGATTCCCTCGATCGGAAGCTAGACCATGCATCCTAAGCGGCTTTTTGTTTGGCGCTCAAAGGTTCCTTTGGGTGAACAGGTTAGCTGAAATCCAGGGTTTGGTTGCACGGTTGAAGTTAACAAGCTCCTGGCACCCCGACTTGCGATGTGCCAGGAGTTGATAGCCATGCTTGACAGCGAGCCCAAGCTAACGATCGTCCTGCAGCATTGCCAGGCAGACTGAAGCAGGGGGGTTGGGAGGTGGTGGGGTGGGGGGTTGTAACCACCTTCCCTTCCTGTTTTGACTCCTTTTTTCCCGAAAGCATGGTGAAGGGTTTTGCAGAAGAGGCGGTCTTCGACTAGGTTGTCGTTATTGTTGGCGTATGGATGGATGCCGTGATGGCGGGATTTGGCGTAGTCTTCGAGAAGGTTTCCCGTCGCGTTGTGACGCTGGCGAGCGCTGCGCCCTCGAAACTCTGGGCGCAAACGACATCCGTCTCGGTGTTCCCGGTGCGTCATGATGCTGGTGCATGGTCCTGCGGCATGCCCATTGTCCTCTGAGGTCAACCCGTTCACCACATCGCTGGCAGATGTGCGTGGGTTGCGGACGTGCGATGTGGGAGATGATGTCTGGGATGATGGACCTGGATGATGCATAGATGAACCGTGTCGTTGTAGCGTCTTCCAAACGAATCGTCTTGCTGAAGCTTAGAAGGTTGAGGTCCTAATCGCGGCTCAAAAACGCTTTCCGGACAACCGTTCTCTGGTCTCTCGTTTTGGGGCAGGAGCTGGAGCACTACATCGAGAAGCGAGGGAAGCCGTCCTTTCCTCGGCTTGGGAGGGTTTAGGGAAATTCAGGGAAGTTGTGGGGAGCAGCCTGCAGCTAAAGAACTCAAACCCAAACCCAAGGCTTGGGCTCGAGCTGGCGGTCTCTGAGAAGGCAGGCTGCAGTAGGCTCCCCCTGATTCCATCGTTTCGGGGTTGGGGATGCTTCGATTTGGGAGACTGGGACATTTGAGGGAAACAAGAAGAATCTGGGTAAAACCTTTGCTCCATTTCCTCAGGCCACTTGCCTTACGGTGCAGAGGATCGAAGTGAATGGGCTGGTTGCCGCCCGGAAGCTTGGCGAGCCGCAACGAGCGCAACGAGCATAGCGAGTGCAGCGAGGTTGAGGGTTTCCCGTGCTTTTGGAGGCTCCACTTCATCCATGTGGATAGGTTCAGTGAACAGGCTTTGCAATGTATTGCCAAGCTCCTTGAGATTCTTGAGCGAAACTCCTCTCGGGGCCTGGTCCTCCTGCAGCAAAGGAACGAGGCTAGTGGGGACAGACAGATCAGAGTTCACGACAAGATCGTGGCCGTGGATGGCGTGCATGCGCCAGCTGCTTGGTGGCACATAAATGGGTATTCCGATAGGGAGTGTCCATTCCGATGTGTCCGACTGCAATGGGGGCGCCAAAGTGGTGCATCTGTTGATCCGTGAGTGCAACATGTACAACTTCAGTGTGGTGGTCAAAAGTGGCGCCTGCTTCGCCCTTCACCCCAGCGAGTCCCGATTGTAGTTGAAGTGGTTTAGTTGTAGTGAAACGGAGAATTTAGAAACTCAGCTTTGGTGAAGCGATTGATTTTTGTTCCAGGCTCCAGAGCTCATGCGAAAGATCAAGGACGGTGTTGCAAGGTTGTAGAGTGGAGCAGCTCACTGCCGGTCGCTGAGAGATAAGTTCAATCCGCTTCCGTGGACAGGAGGGGGATACCTTCATCCTCACCGTGTACTCGTGGGATGTGTAGGTTGGGAACTGCAGGAGTTTGAAGCAAGTGGCCTCTTGTGGAAACTGGATTTGCCCACATCTTAGGTCTTAGACCATCTTAGACCCTTGCGCATTATGTACCCCCCGACCCCAAAAACCCTGAAGCCCCAAAGCCTGAATTTCCCCCCCTCAACAAAGAAACGACATAATAATGATACGAATACGAATAATAATCACAACAATAATAAGAAGAAGAAGAATGATAATCATAATAATAATCATAATAATAATAATCGCAAAAAAGCGCACGTCGTGAGCCAGACTATGGCTTGCCTGTACATTTTCCGAGGGACTTCGGAAGCTCAAGACCCGTGGCCCCTGGACTCCTCAAGGGTGATTAGGGTCGGATGGCTAAGGGTAGTGGTGGTAGGATGGTTCACCGGAGGGTTGAGGGGTTTCAGATGGTTCACAGGATGTTTTTGCTGGTATTCGGGCTTTGGGATTACTTGGTAAATTTGGGGGGACGCTGGTCTTCAGCCTCCGCGCGGCCTGCGAGCCTGAAATCTGGGCTTGCATGGCCTCTGCGATGATTCGTAGCTTGGGGGGCTGAACCACAGCCCTGCGTTGCTGCAGCTCTTCAAAACGAGGGGTTTATCTTGTGGACACCTACCATCCTGGATCCGGTTTCTTTTTCGTTCCTGCATTTGGTTGCTCTGTGCGGGCTCTCATTTGACCATGTTTCTGGGCAGCAGTGTCTTTGGGGACTCAGCTCGGAGCTTTCTCGGAAAGAGTCTTGTAACCGACAGTTGCTCCCTACAATCCTTATATGCGCCCCACACTTCCATAAAGCCCTACCCTAAAGGCCCCAAGGGCCCCCCAGAATCCAAAGCTGTGGGTGGTCTGGCTCATTGGCGGCCGCGGCATTCCACGCCTCAGCTGTCCGATCCCGACCCGCACGAAATCAGGATTCACTGTTCAGGGCCTAGGCCTTAGCTTTGTAGATTTTTTAACATAAGGACTTGCGAGAGTTACGCTTTGTTCTTGGCTGACACTATCCCCTAAGTGTGAATCCGGAACTGCACCAGACTTGGTAGCGACTTGGGTTTCCGGGTTTCGGGTTGAACGCTGGGCCGAGGTGCCCTGTAGGATCTGGGGTTCAACCGCGCAGCATGGGCTGCGGCTGTGGAAAGACAGGCTGGAGCATCCAGGGCGGGGCCAAAGTAAGCGGACTGTCCCCTCAAGCTGAGGGGTAAGTTGGCCAATCGGCTTGATCCCTGGAAGCCAGGAAGCGAGCCTGATGCGAGTGCCTGCCGCAGCATTTCCTTTGTGCGATTTTCGGTTTGGAGATGTGTTTGGAGGTGGGGTTTTACATCCATTTGCTGTTGCCAGTCCATGGCCGTCAAGGCAGCGATTACAAGCTGGCCCGAAAGCTTCAGCAGGAGGAGGAGTGGAGAGCACGAGCATGGCGCTGCATGGCACTGCATGGCTCTGCATGGCTCGCCCCAAGCGGCTTCCGAGAAATGCACTTCTCGCATCCCTAAATCTGTGGACCTACGCCAGTCTTTTCTCAACGGAGGCGCTTAGCGTTCTATTGCGTGCCTTTTGGCTGTATGATTTGCTTTTGACTTCCTGTCATTGACTGTCTCTTTCTGTTCCAAACAGCTTTTGCTGGAGGTTCTGAACTTGCTGGAAGAAAGGGTTTCTGAGACGTTCATTTGGACTTGCCACAGCGCTACTCCAAAGGATTGTCTCCCGTTGTTTCTCAACTGTCGGATGCTGTGATGCATCTGTTGTCTCCCATTTGGCTCCCTTTGCTAAATTTGGAGAAAGGGTTTCTGTGACGTTCATCTGGATCTGTTACGGCACCGACGCTGCGTGCTGTGAGGCCCGTTTGCTATTGTCTCCCATTTGACTCGAAAATGTGCCTTGCATTTTGTCCCGCCCCCCCCCCCCCCCCACTTGTTTGCCCATTTGTCTCGACACTGGATGATGCTGATCTCTTGCTTCGCCATCTCCGACACTGGAGGCCCGCTGTCTCTTCCATTTCCCATTGTCGTCCTCCCTTTGGTAACGTGCACAGACCCGCATGCTGGCGACGCCCGTTTGGAACTTGGGGGGGGAGGGGGGGGTTCTTAGTTTTGTTTAAAGAAGGGTCTTGTGACTCTTAAAGCTGTTTCTCTCATTCGTCTTCGTTTTTGTTGTAAAACACCCTGGGGGCGAGCGGCGACGCTGCTTCTTGTGAAGAGAGCAGACCCTGGATGCGGTGACGCCCGCCTGGGACTTTGTGTCTCCCAAGAGTGCTCCTTTGGCGAAGGGAGGCCGTCACGCCTGTCTGGGGTTGTTTGTCTCTCATGTGTCTCCTACAAGAATTGAAGGAAAGAATCGAAGGCAGGCAATGAAGGAAAAGGAAAGAAAGGAAGGCCAATAATGAAGGAACGATCGGCAACAAGAACAGACAGAACGGAAGAAAAGCCAGGGAAAGACAGGAAGAGAGTAAAAATGTACGAGCTGAGCTGTAAACTCAGCTTGAAACACGAAGGTTACTTGTTTCATTTGATGACACGCCTCGCTACCCCTTACCCCCCCCCCCCCCCGAACCCCTCTCCCCTACCCAAGCCAAACCCTCATCAATTTATTGCCGCTATTATCACTCTTTTGTTGTCTTTTGCTTCTGAACACGACTGATAAGACTTAACTGGCGGTCACGGTTTTTGGCGAGGTGAGAACCCAGAACAACTTGAACCCTGGCCCTAAACCCCAAGCCCAAAAGAGACTAAAGGTCCAGAATCCCTGTTGCTGCAAGCCCAAGCCAGGACCCCATACTTCCTACCCTGAACCCTATTAGATCCCTAGGGTCCCTCTTCAGTCCTGAGCTTAGACGCCCACCCGATACCCCAAAAGCCTTAAGATCCCAGTACTACCTTTTCTCGTTGTTGGTTATTGCTACTTGCTGTTATGACCTGTTATGACCTGTATCCAAGTAGTTGATCTCATCATGAACTTGTGAGTGTGTTTCTGTTCTTGTTATCGTTGGTCTGGTCATTGCAAGATATTGCAAGCATGGGTGTCAGCAATCTGCTGTGGCAGCTTTGCAACCCAAACCCGTCCGATGTGACTAGCAACACTGAGAGCATTGTTGTTGATGTTTCTTATGCGCCTAGCTTCGCATGTTGAATGTTAGCTCGTGATGTCTTACAACACTGGCGGCTGTCCACACAAGTACTGCAGTCTACACCTTACTCTCATTCAAGCAGTGCCAAAGTCGTGCCACCTTCTGACACATGTTTTCGAGGAGCGAAACGCCCGCAGAGCCGCGCAGGGCGCGCAGGGCGCGCAGGGCGGTCAGGCGCCGCGGCCCACCTCATCGAGGCGCGAGCCTTCAAGCGTCACCTTTGGAGAGCGAAGACCTGGGAGGTGAGCAGTTGAGATGCGAGAGTCTGAGCAGAGTGAGTCTAGCCTGCGGGCTGGCGGCTGGAAACGCTGGCTTTCTCGAAGCCTTTCCTGCTCTACAGGGCCGGCTGGCAATCTGCCGGCAGCGGGCGCTCCCTGGGAGGTGCCAGACGCGTATTGCCAGAGAGTATCAGTGCACTCGCAGAGTCAATAGTGATCAATAGTGAGAACGTTCATTGACTTTCTGCTCTCAGCCAGCATTATGCCACTGTGCCGAAGTGGTGGCGTGCGAAAATCACGGGGGTTTTCGGAATCCCGACGACCAGACTACAGTATAGTGAGTAGAGCAAGAAGCGGCTCACTGCATTGTGCGAGCAGAGGCCCCCTGTTAGAAACTCAGAAGCCTTGTGATCCTTGTGCGATTGTGTGAAGGGGCTCCCCGACAACAATCACTGGAAGCCGCGACGTCGAGACAAAGTCAACCAAGATTTCTGGGTGCTAGTAAGGCAATTACAGGATGCTGGCGCTGCGCTGGCACGCCAAAGTGCGTGGAGGTTTACACTGCCGGTCAGTTCCCGCCCCCTTCTGCGGAACTAATGTCTATGCAGCCCTCAAGCCCAAACCCTGACCTCAGGTCCCGGCCCCAAACTCCACACCCCGACCTTTAACTTGAGCTGATTTTGAGGCACAGGGGAAGGTGAGGCTGCCCAGCTTTCTCCGGAGGAGAGGAGGCAGCGTGCTCTCGAGGCCCTCAGGGCCTTAGGGTTTAGGACGATGTGTAGAGATATGCAGGGTTTCCGGTTGGCGGCCCTTCCTCAGGATCTTGTTTCATGGTCATCATGGGTAGCGCAGGTTTGTTAAGAGCTTCAGCCGTGACTCACGTGACGTGTTTCTGGGAGATTCCGAGGCGGTGAGGGCTTCAGGTACGGGGTATCGGAGCTTTGAGAGGGGCGCAGAGGTTGACCTCCAGCCCGAACGAAGTGACATGAGCCTGAAAGAGGCGGCCGAGCGAAGGCAGAACCAGATCGCCGGTGTCTCCGAGAAGAAGGCCAATCCCTTGATGCATCAGGGCTTCGCCTGGTTGGATTGTCCATTTCAGAGACACCGCCAGCATGATCTGACCCCAAGAGGGATCGGAATTGCAAGGCCCTCCCCCAAAGCAGGCACCGACACAGTTGCTGACCGCAAGGTTCTGGCTGCGGCAAGATGGCTTCAAAACACCTAGGACCTAAGCAAGGCTGTTTCAGCCCAGCAAAAACTACCCTAAAGCCCTAAGCCCTAAACCCTAAACCAGAACTCTCAATTTTAACCCAACCCTGAACCCTAAACCCTAAATTTTAACCTCTAAACCCTAAACCCGAAACCCTAAACCCTAAGCCTTGCAGGTTCAAGAGATGCGCAACAAGGAGCAGAAGGATGCCCTACTTGGCAAGCTGGCCCCTGGGACACCAAATAGCCTGGGGGAACATCTGGGAACCCGCTTAGTTAGGGTTCAGGGTTTAAAGTTTAGGGTTTAGGGTTTTGGGTTTTGGGTTTAGGAAAGAACCCAGAGACCTGAGCATCCTCATGGGTCCTAAACTTCTAAACCCCAAGCCGAATCCTAAGCCCTCTGGACTCGAGCCGTCCGAACCTGCTCAGTTTCTGTGTCATTGCATTTGACAGCCTCTGGCCCTTTGCTCCAACCCAACTCTTCGCATTCGCAGGCGGAGCATTACGCCCGACAAAAGCGGCACTCCAAGCATCCGTGGCCATTCCGCTTTTGCAGATTCTACCGCAGGATTCGGAGTTTGCAGGACAGGTTTCGCAGGGATCGGGAAAGAGAGCGCCGAGGATCGAAATGCCCATGGGCCTCCACGCTGCCAGTGCGCAGAGCCGAGAGGGCTGGGAGGGCTCGGAGGGCTCGGAGGGTTTGCCTTGGCTTACCTCAGGTGAACTGAAGCCGTGCAAGCCTCTTTCGGTATCTTTCCGTATGTTCGACTTCATGACAGGAAAGCATGTTAAACTCAACTGACTCTAGGCAGAGGCAAGTTTTGATTGTGCCAGCTCCAAATACACGAGTAAGGAATAGCTGGACAGACAAAAGTCAGCGTTTTGGCGGACACCAACGCAGCACAGCACTTTGCAGGTAAAAGCCTGCCCCGAAATCCTGAAATCACAAAGACGTCACAAGTGAACCTTCAGCGTTTGCAGGTTATTTCCTGTCGCCAGGATGCATGCCGAGTGTTCAGCCCTAAAAAGAATCAAGGGACATGTAGGCCTGTCCAGGCCGCAAGCCCTAACCCAAACCCTGAGCCCGAGGCCCTAAGCAAAACCAAAAAGCAAGCAGCGGAGCCACAGGTGATGAAAGACACTGGCGTCCGAAGTGCTGTAAATTGTAAATAACAGTCAGAGCTCCAAAAACGAAATGACAAGTTCAAACCACCGTCATTGCGCTTTCTTGTCTCTTTGCAGGTCAAGAAGAAAAGCAGTCGGAAGTGAAACTGCATCCTTATAGCTCCAAACTCTTTGAGGTGGAGCAACTTCGGCAACACTGGGAGACCGTCCGGAAGGACAGAGGCAGGGAGGACGCTGTCCTGCAGTCGCCGGCTGTGTCGCCCTGGCTTTGGTTTTTGGGGGGTTCTGGGCTTGGGGGTACATGGGTTGAGGGTTTGGAGATGCTTGGAGGATAGAGGATGGCTAGATGTTTCAAGGGGTGGGGTTCTTGTTGCGGAAAGCTTATGCTGCAGCTTTTAAAAGTAGTCAGGGCATTGTGTCATTGTGCTTTGCCAGGTAGCTGGCAGCATGCCTACGTTTCACACCACGAGGCTTCAGGACTCCAAAGGGAAATGTCCTGGTTGTGTACAGAGCGACACACAACGTTTAGCGCGATGGGCAAAAGTAACAGGGGGTTGCTCTGCACCTTTGATGGGTAGGACTGTCGGGTTCGACTTGTTTGTGGTCTGTTGATATACAAGGATAGACACACAAGGGCAACCTGGATAGCCGAGTATAAGCTGCAACTCAGGGTCAGACCTGGTTGTTCTCTTCACTCGCGACATGTAGGCTGCATTCGTCAATAAGGGTAGCTCTGTCGGATTGGGCTCATTGGTAGGGATACTACTACCTGGACTACAACTTGGCACCTGTACACTTGAATCTGACAGACACCGAATTCTCGTTTGGTACTATTCCGGATAGCGGGCAAGTTTTCCATATAAGCTTCCTATAATCGACACACCATGCACGCAACAACTCATCCTCGAAATGGACACCTGAAGCATCTGCTGGGCCTAGTGGGTCAGAATCTGGGGCAAGGGGTTGATGAGACTGGAGCGCAACATGCATCTGAGCCTTCTGGGGCCTAGTGGGTCGGAGTCTGGGGCAAGGGGTTCATGAGATTGGAGTGCCTCTTGCATCTGAGCTAGTGTGGCCCAAGCCGACGCGAAATAGCATCGTTCACCCAGACTATCCGACATGCCTATCCACATGCTTCATAGCGCAGCACACATTGAAGTCGGCTGACCAAGTATCCGCCCACACTCCCGTGACGCACATCTTAGGCGTCTCGCAGCGCAGCACACTTATCGCACCCCGAGATATGCGAACAAAGCGGACTTAGGACCTGCACTCGTTTACCCTGGAAGACATCCAGCTCTTTGTTTCCCAGATTTCTCATGACCACAAGTCGAGGCAGCACGTCCTCCAGCTCGCGCTGGCGCGAGTCACGGGCGCCACTGACGCGCGTTTGTGCGCTTGGCGCTGCGGCGGTGTCCGGGGCTCTGCTACGTCTCTGGGACGGGGGAGGCGCCTTCGCCGGCCCTTCCCTGCGTGGACCGCGCTGTGGCCGTGCCAGCTCCAATGTGGCGCTGTTGGCCCGCCGCTACGGCAGTTATGACGACAGGGTAGACTTGTATGATGTGGACGAGATGGAAGAGACCGATTTGGACGAGCTCACCGTCGACGACCTGGACGAGCTCACCGTCGATGGCCTGGACGAGCTCGCCGTGGATGACCTGGATGACCTGGATGACCTGGATGACCTGGATGACCTGGATGACCCGGACGGTTCCCGGCCTTCTTTTCCTTCTGACTCTCGAAGCACGCAACCCCCTCGGTCCGGTTACAGGCCGCCGAGAAGGGTGGAATTGAACTCGAAGTTCCAGCGCCAAGGCTTCTTCGAGAGGGCAGACTTGCCACGATTGGACCCGACGGAATTGGACAAACGTGGCGTGCTCCAGACCCTTTCGGTGGACGAGCTCGAAAAACGTACGCAATTCCGGTGGGGCTTGGATTCCAAGCAGAACAACCGGCTGAGAAACAGGCCAAGCAGGAGGTCGGAAGAAGAGCCTGAGGAACTACGGCTGAAGACAAGGGTGGACCCAGAAGCAGAGTACAACCCTTTCCTGAGCCGGCCTCTCCGGCAGAGGATGCGAAAGCCCCGTGAGGAACCGGCTGAGTCAGTGTCAGTTTCCGTCCGAGCTCCCGCCCCGCGGCCACGCGGCAACCGGACGAACCGGCGTCCTAGAAGTGTGGGGCCTCAGCTCAAAAACAGCGAACGAGGTTTCTGTAGGACCGCGAGATGCGATATTTTGCCGCGATATTTCTCTTCTATCTCAGGCTTGAACTCCTGGCTCCTGAACACCAAGGACTGCTGTGCCTTTGTGTTCTGCCCGTTCTGCCTCTTATTCTCCCTTGTCCCATCTCGTAGGCATCTAGGCTTTCGTGTAGAGGTCCCACGGGAAAAGGCGGCTGAGAAGTTGCCAAAACGCGACGCGTCCGATCCTCAGACTTGGGTTTTTCGCACGTCTTGTCCTGAAGCTTCTCACACCCCAGGCGGCGGAACACCGGGGACAGGGTCGGTTATTCTGTGTATCGCAAGATGTACAAGGACCGATCAATCCCCGAGCCTTAGAGGGGGCCCTGGAGGGCCCCCAAAGGGCCCTTGAACCGCCTCACAACCCCATGCGCAGGCCGTGATGCGCAACTATGGCCCCCTGCCCTGGGATCGCAGCCTTCTCAGAAGGTCTTAACGGGTAAGAAGCATGGAGCTTTTTCCACAACTTCAGTTGGGTAAGCGCTCTACACTAGAAACCCAAGACCACGAAGACTTTCGGGTTTGCCGTTTCATGTCTTCAGGGTGTGAGGGAGTGCCCCCTAAACCCCAAGCCCCCACCCAAGGCGTGGACGGACAGACAAGTTGGCTGGACCCGGCGAACCAAACTTGGGAGGAGAACCTGACAGAGCCCAGCTACCGAAGTGTTCCAACTTCATATTTGAGTTGCATGAGACGGAGGTTTCGTGCTAGCGCACATTCAGCGGGCGCTACTGCATGGGTATCCTGTTCCTTGACCCTATGCTGGCAACTGCAAGGAACCTCTCTGACCAGACATCTAGATCGACATCTACATGTTGATTCATTTAGATAGACCTCTAGATCTTCATCTTATCCATCTGTTTGTCGAGACCGGCTGCCTGTGCTCAAGGCGTGCCGTGGATATACAAGTGATGATCCCGCACCAATGGGAAAATGGGCCGTGCCCTCGGCAGGAGCTGGGTCTGGACAGCCAAGAGGGCGCGACCGTCCTGGAGCTACAGCCTTACAGTCCCGTCCCCAAAAAGCCATCGGTTCCTTGTCTTGGTACGAGGCTGTTGCAGGATCGAGGGGTGCCCAGACCTCAGCAGTGCAGCAAGTGCTTGGAACAGAGCATTACTCACTCACTCACGGCACTCTGACAAGTCCTCACGTCATGGCCGAGCAGGTGGCCGATTAGGATGCCACGGGAACTCGAACAACCCCCAGACACACAGCGGCACCTATGAGGCAACGCCGCCCCTGGAGAATAGGAAGAGCCGTGCAGCCCGACATGAAATCTACGGCATACAGGCCTTCCATCCCACCAAACAGCATGACTCTTGCACGTGTTTGTTATAGCGAACATTATCAAAATCACACGTCACCTACGATCTTGCTCAGTTTGTCGACAAGATCTTGCAGCTCACGTTCATTGCCAGAGCGCGGAGCTGTGCCTCGCTTGATGCGACCACCAGCTTTACCGATGGTGCGGAGCAAGGCATCGAGGATCGGCGACATGTCAGGGCACACCGCAAAGTGGATCTTGTTCATCTTTTTGTCGAAGCAACGCTTGACCTTTGCAATGAGCACCCTGTCAATCAGATCTGACACCGCCGTGACACTGTTGAAGTGCTGCTTCAGCACCTCTGCATCTTCACCAGTCGCCTGCCCATCACTCACGGCAACCTTCACCATCGCTGCCCAACTGTGGTACTGCGGCTCGCCTAAATCCTCCAGCATCTTGTGGTTGCGCTGTTCGCGCGCACCCTTTGCTTTCTCTGTAAAAATGCGCGTAGCCTCCTGAGCCTCGCTGACAAACGGGGAGTCTTTGGAGATCACCACAGTTCGGAACACAGCGGATTGAAGCTCGCGGATTTCAAGAGAATGACGAAGTGAAAGCTGGGAAAGGAGTAGCAGCAATTTCCCCACCATGGCTTTGTCAAGCTCAGGCTTCTCGCTCACTGCCGTCCGGGGCTTCTTCTCTGCACGGCTGTCGCTCGAAGCAAGCCACCCGTCCATGCTAGCAAGAGTCACGAAGCAACTACTGGGGGGGAACTGCGTCCTGAGCTGCAGCTTGGGCTGGGGTAGGCCCAGCAACATGTGTAGTGATGCACTGCAACAAGCCATCCATGGTGTCATGCTCTGCTTGGCAATATGGACACGACATATCATCAACAGGCTGAATCTGATGTACAGTGGTGCACCCTTTACCCTTACATCGTCCATGCTTGAAAGATCTCTGTATGTGCTGCTTGGCACAACGCTTGTCAACAAAGATGCAGCGACACCAGGGGCACACATTGCTGACGGCAGCCTGATATGCCACACTATTTTGACCATGAGTCCCGTTCTTTGTGAAAAACTTGTGGACAGCCAAAGCATGCCGCGACGCGAACTTGGCAGAACAAATGCTCCCGTCATCAAGCTTGCAGTCACAGGCGAACTGCAAGTCAGCCTCGAGCAGGACATCTGGCACTGTAGGGGGGATGGTATCTTGAAATCCCGGTGGTGGGATAGCCACACACAAGAACTGGCGCCGTAACACCGTGCAATCAACTGCCATGAACTGTTCTCGCAGATCAGTGAACATTCGAACGCAGCTACCCGCCAGATCTTGCACCAGACGCACACCGTCGTCCACTTCCCCCAATGCTTGGATGTCCTGCTGAAACTGCACCGCCCAAGGATTGCAGCCATGCGCAAGCCTACCGTGACAATCCAGTGTAGGCAAAGTCTCGAACGAAAACCGTCCAAAGACAGCCGCAAGAAGTTGCACATGTTTATGCGGACATCTCGCCACAGCCTGCCAGAGTTTGAGCCGCCGGACTCGCAGTTCAATGCTTGACGGGACCAACTGCAAGAACCTCCAAACTTTGTGCGACGGTACTGCATGATAAGCGATCTGCCCATCTTCCGACAAGATTTTGGCACAAGCATCACCACGCATGACTTTCCTACCCTTGGAGAGAACACATCTATCCAGCCTGTCGTACTCGCCTTTGTGGAGCACCCGAGCCTCCAGGCCTGAAACCACATGTGAATACACACTGCTCTTGAATATGGTGACCAACGGCCTTGCGGCCACCTTGGGGCTGGACCACAGTTTCCCATAAGAGCACCATGCACCCTGCGCTGCCCGGACACGAGCAGTGATTTCCGGCCCATTGCCTCCAGCATACTGCGAAATGCCACCCAAATACTTAATGGTCCTGTGCATACCGCCCGCCACCAAAGCTTGAGAATAAGCGGCTCGCATGAAATCGTCTGAGCCTTGTCCACAAAAGAGAACATGATGAACTTGCTTGTCTGCGTTTTGCGCGATGCCGACCTTGGACAGAGCGGCGTCGAACAAGCAGTTGGACAAGCCAGAACGAAAGGCCATATCGTCAGGATTCGAGACCACATGTTTTTTGCAAACATCATCGGCGTATGAAGACAAGGAACAGTCAACACGTTCTTGTGACACCGGGTCCACTGAAACAAACTCCTCGCCCACCGCTGTAAGCATGTCAGCGCAGTACTCGTCAATCGCTGGATGATAGGCAAGAAGGAAATGTTCGCAAGCGAACCCATCTCCTTGTAGAATGCCAGTCTGTGGCTGCACATTGATATTGCCATCACACGCTTTGATGCACATGTAAGCTTCGCTGTGCCGCTGCTGAAGAAGAGATGCATCCACTGGCTGCGCAACTCGCTCAACGCAATCGTGTAGGACGCTGCGAAGCGGACTGTAGAAGGCATTGGCAACATCATGCGAGGAGGTGAGAACGGACAAGCCGTGTTTCTTTGCTCGCCACGCAGTAGCGTTCTGCACCAGCATCGCATCCAATCGGCTTTTGTTACGAATGTATCCCGCGGCATAGTGCCGGAGATGCTGTTGTTTGCATCTGCCTCCGAGCCATCCGAAGTAGAGTTTGCCCATAGTGTCCAAGTTGTTGATGGCGCGAACACCAGCGCATTTTGCTTTGCCATTGTGCTTATCCAACTCAATGACCTCGCTCCTTTGCCATTGTACAGGAACTTCGTCGTAACTCCTGATAGAGAGGAGCAGCTGGTGAAAGAGTTTCTGAAAGTGGCCATTAGGCAACGAGCATCTGTCAGCGTAGCCAATTCCGAACCTGACTTGAGAAAATTTCCAGGTTGGAAAAAGAACTTGTCGCCAAACCTCTGCTGGCATGCCCCAGGAAGGATACCCCTTTCGAAGCTGCAATCGACGACCCCGCTGGCAAATTCCGTGAAAATCGTGCCACGCAAGATCTTTGGCTGCATCAAGTGCACGCACCAGGGTCCTGGGCTGGCATGCTTTTTGAAAAACGTCCTCCCAATCAATGGACTTGGCCTGGCAACCACCATCAGGCCCGTCTTGTTGCAGATACGACAACCAGTCCGAACATGTTGGCTGCACAGATTTTGGCCTGTCAAACCTGCGTCGCTTAGGTCCAAGTCTGAAGCCCGAGAGAAGTCGGCTGACACGGTAGCATCCCTTGAAATCCCGCTTGTGCCAAAAATAGTTGAGTTCGGCAACGCGCGCCTGCCTCCATGATTCACGATCGCGCTTGACAAGCACATCTGAAGCCCGACGTGCCCTCCAGAAGGCTGCCAATCGCTTCCACTGTTGGAGAAGGTTGGCCAAAAACTGCAGTGAGTCACGACTAGCAGCAGGAAGCACAGTCTGAACAAGGCATGTCTTGGCTGCCTGGGTATGGAACAGCGCCTCCCGCGTATCAGCAGGTCGATCACACTTAGTTTTTGCACCACCAGAGTAATGCAGTTTGGTCGCCTGCGCCAATGCATCATGCAAGGCCTGAAAAACAACAGTGGGTCGCTGTAGCACAGGAAGCTCAAGCTTCTGCAACGCCTGCTCACAAGCAATTTCAACGTCCGCAAGGAACTGTGGCCTACGCACGCCCTGCAACGCATCCTGTGCAAGGGAATCACGATCCAGTTGACGGTGAAAATCATGCTTGCGAGACTGATAATGCAAACCATGCTCGAAAACAACAGTGAGGGGGACATGATCCCGCAACCCTGCACAAGCATGCCACTGCAATCGGTACGCACGTGCTTTCTGAATGTAGCAGCGCGAAACATTATGCAGCCGAGTTTGTGGCAAGCATATGTAATCCACACGAGTCCCTCGACCAGTGGTGCCATAATATGTTGGTCCGCATGGATGAAAACTGTTAATGGCTGCCAGGTGGTGCAGCTCAAGTAGCTGTCTAAACTCGCTGCCATTGAAATTTTCAAGCGCGGCGTCCGCTTGCCCCACTGCTTCACTATTGATGTGTGCAAATCCGCCCTCATGCCGATGAAGCCCTGTGTGCCCGTTTGCATCCAGGAGGAGGACAGGAAGGCATCTATGAGGAAGCCTGTCAAGAAAAGCAGCCACATACATCCACAGGCGCTTAGCCTGTCTGCGCTGAGCATCTGTGTTGGGGGGGTGAGGCTCAGGATACTGATACACGACAATTGCGCACAAGTCCACATCACCACGAACAAGCCGCACTGCCCCGAACCTGCCCGCCAGTTCTTCAGGAGGCTGATAAACTTGTCTGACATTCCGATCATGGAATACATTCCGACGTAGCGCAATAGCCACACCAGCGGCTTGTTCAGCCCTCCCTGCTCTGCGCCCCCACTCAATCCACAAATGCGTGCCCACCTGTGTCTGGGACACTGGAATGCCAACCGCATCTTGGGAAGTACATGTGCCTGGTATGCCAATGATATGGGAATGCACAAGTTCACGAACGATTTGTTCTCGTCTGTAAGCAGTCCGACAAACATAAGGATTGTAAACGCTGGTAACCCATCGCATGTTACCATGGAGTCACACTGCAAGGCCGCCTGGAGGGCGTAGCCTACCAACTACTTTCTAGCCACCTGCACGCTCCTGTTAAGCTTGCGCCAATGGTGGCTGGAACAGAGCATTATGCAGCAAGCATGTCGTATGTCAGCATATTGCTCTGATTGCCGGAATCAAGATGTACCCCATTGAAGGAGTGCTGTCTCTTAAGGAAGATACCCAACCGGTTGCAGTCCTTGGCTCTGCCAGCTGTCCTTTCGGACGCGGCCTTACACCATTCCCACTGCGTGTGGCGCGGCTCCGTTTCCATTGTTGCTACAAAAATCGCTGCAGGGCACTGACGTGATGCTCACCTCGACAACGGGATCTGGGAAAACCTTGGCCTTCCTCCTACCATTGCCACCTACCTAGTGACCTAGTGCCATTCATCGCATGCGGGACTAGAGCAGCCGCCTGGCTTTGAGGCTGCATCGCTTCATTTTGCCACTTAGTCGCTTTGACCTTCGCAGGCCAGCTCTCTGCTTGCTTGGTGAGCGCATTGCTGGCCCTGCGTTGCAGCAGGGAGCGGTCTAACCTGCCACACCACCTTGCGCCCAAGATTTTGAGCAAGCAGTGCCCTCAGACGCCCTTAAGCCTGCCGGGAAAGGGCCCTAAACCTTCAGATGTCAAGCGTCACAGACCGCCACGAAGCTGAGGCCAAAGATTCTGGTGGTCGTGCTGCCCTGAGATCGTTCACGCTTCATTTTTAGGCCGTGAGTCTTATGATAGTCGTGACTCGTGTCCGTCGCGCCTGGTTGTTGTGATTCTGGTTGCTCTTGTGACAAGCTGCATGGGACCCTAGAATTCCATTGCGAAACGCCTTTATATGCTCTTGGCAACACCCCTGCGCTCCTCAGCCCTGAAACTGAACAACTGCTGATCCTTTGGCGTATATCATGCCTTTGTTATGAGCATCCGGAAGGCCCCTGGTCGCGAGCTTTCGCGTCAGACCGCACGCCACACCCGCCTGTTCTTGTTTCGCAATGGCAGCTTTGATGCAAACCGTCTTATTGCAGTCCTGGTGGTGTATCCGAACGTTGCTGCCAGGGGTGATCTCTGATCTCTTGAAGCCCTTCCCCCAGCTGAACGTCACGCTGTTGGTGGGCAAAGACAACCACAAGCGCCAGGACTCCCTTGGCCCCCTTTGGCTTTGGGCTGTGTGGGCCACTTGTGTATCCTGTATCCTTCTGAGTACGCTGGCAATTGCTGCGATTCTCGAGTCCATCAGTCTGCCTTGGTCCAGAGGTTTAGGGATTCCCCCAACATGTGCCAGATCAGCCGTGCTTGCTTCACTGGCAAGGATGAGAGGCTCGCGGAGAGGCTCCACAGCACGAAGCTAGAGCGCGGAACTTCCTGCCAGATGTGGGTCAGCTCATCTAGTTTGGGGTTGTAGCTCTTCTTGGATGTAATTGCAGGTTGGCAGAGAGCAGGGACAATCCTTGTGGCAGGGTTAGAGTTGCTCATGATGTAAACTGAAGACCTTATCACGCTAGATCAGTTGGGGTTTAGGGTTTTCAGGATCTGCCCAGGACACAGGGTTTACTCTGCCACCGAACCGCAACCCCAGCAGCTTCTCAATCACCGTATGCAGGCAGCCCGTGGTCGTCGTGGGCACTCCGGGCAAACTGATGGACCATGCGATGGAAGGCCTCGAAGTGTCTTCGGAAACCCAATCCTGCATAATGGTAGGCCGGCCCTGCAACCTGTGGCAGGCCGGCTGATTCTTGGCGAGCTGAAAGCCATTGTCTTCGACGAGGTGGATGCCCTCCTGAGCATGTCCCGCAAGGCAGAGGGCCCTTCACATTCTGCCTACCACGCACACGTACGTTCTGCTCGTTTAGGGATATCCCCGAGCCTCGAAAGCTTTGCCAGGATCATCTGCAGCTCCTCCTGCAACACATCGGTGTGAACGAAGGGGCCCAGCTGCAATCTCAGCGTTTTGCCTCGAGCACCCAGCTTCAGGGTGACTTCGGACCTTTAGATTACGGATGTCTACTTGGCCCAGCTCGTTCATAGCTCGTTGGTTTCCTCCGTCACTCTCTTGTAATTGCAAACGCTTGCACACACACCTCCGTGCCACGGGGCGTGGGGCTCCAAACGTGGCACCTCGGAGTTTCCAGTCCGCGCGTCAGGCTGCAGATACGGAAAGCACCCGTGGGTCGAGGAGAAAGACACTGGAGACAAACCCGAGGATCATGAAAACTCGCAGCGCGATTGGGGGAGGTACAGCACCCACAGAGCAGGGCGGTCTGAAGCCTTACGGCCGGAGGCTTCAAAGTCGGGCTGGGAGGAGGCTCAGGCACTGGCAGGCTAGGCCTGAGGTAAGGGGAGGGTCCGGTACACCCACCTGATGGGCAAACCGAACCGAAGGGCAGCACCAGACCTCACCATCGACTCCCCAGCACAACGCGCCCCTCACCGCCACCACACCACCACCACACCACCACCATGCACCACCGCCAAAGCCAACTGATGCCTCGAACCAAGTTTCAAGAGCCTGAGGCCCCGGAGCATCATCACAAGCTTCCATTTGCTCATAAGCTCGTCGGACTTGACAGCAAGAATCAGGCGAGTCCTGGTGTCTGCCAGTGGCTCTATGGAGGGCAACGCCCTTGATTTCGCTGAGGCTGTGGGCAGTACAGACCCGAGAGCTGCTAAACCCCAGGCCCCGTGAACCCTAAGCCTCAAACAGGAAAGCACTAAGCCGAGAGAATTCAGGGTTTCCGGTTCAGGACCGAGGGTTTAAGGCGCAGATTTCCTGTGCCAAGGGGGCATCAGGTTGAAGGTTCAGGGTTACTCTTTGGCCTGACGGAGGCTTAGATCCTCCGTCTAACGGCCCAGCGCCTGATCTCTGGTTCTTTGCAGCAAGAAGCAACCTACTGGGGTGCAGCCCCAAGTAGGGGCCCTTGTGCCCTCGCTCCTGCCAGACCATCCTCCGAGACGACTGGAAGCTCGTGGGGCCGTGCGGGGCTGAGGGGAAAGCTTCTGAACCATGGGGATGATTTCGGGCCCTTTGGGCAGTGAATCCGGAGTTAATTCGGGTTTTTGTGGCAATAATTGATATTGGCCCTTAACCATCTTAGCCCTAAGATCCCTAAGACCCAAAAATCGCAACCTTCTGGAGGAGGCATGGCATGGAGCTGCCGAAGCGAGCTTGACCCTCAGATTTCTGCTTTCGCTCCTCTCTTGCTCCCGGTGTCTGAGAGTCGGATTTCTCATTGTGGGCATTGTGGAGTATGGTTTCACTAGACACCACCGGTGCTAACGCAGGACAGGTGACGCTTCGTTGCTTTGCATTTTGCAGTCTTGTGGCTTTTTTTCATGGAGTCCATCCTTACGCATGGCAAGTTCTGCAGCTCTCTTCAACAGCCGAAGCTCCTTGAGATTTGACTTTTGCCATGACATGTCCGTGGCGCAGTGTCTCCTTAAGTCCGCGATTGTCGCCCTCCTATCATGTTCGCCATCCACCGGTTTTAAGCCACAGGGGTCCGTCCCTTGTCAGGCCTCAACCCTGCATTCTCCTAAAGCCTTGATCCCACAGCCCTGAGCTCCAAAGGTCCTTCATTTGGTCAACGGCGCCCCAGAGACTCAGTCGCAGAGTTGCTCGATGCCCGCAGATACTCGCAGATACCGCAGCTAGCCGCAGATACTCTGGTAGCATCTCACGACCAGTGCTGGGTTTAGAGCTCTTCTGGGCTGCGGGGACTCATCATATTGGCCGATGTGGAGGACCCAGCAGTGCAGAAGTAGGTCGTTTCAGGGTCCATTTCTTGGTGGCTCAGGATGTGGACAAGAAGCTGGCCTTTCTGCGGTCATCCCTTCTCGTTGGTTGGTGTGGAGTCGGTGTGGAGTCGGGGTTCCACTAAACACGACAGGCGCTTGTCTACGTCAGACCCTCCGTGCAACAGCTTCATTGTGCTACTTGGATCAAGTTTGGACATGTTGTGGCCTCGTTCTCAAAGTGCCTACTTCCGTTGTGAGCCACTGTCCTATAGGTTCTGCAACAACCATGACCGCGTCCGCAAGGCACACTTCAGAAGCTCAAGTTCTAAGCCTCAAGTTGCAAGGATGGGTTTGTGGCAGACCGTGGCGAGCGGCTTGTTGTTCATTCTGCAGTGGCTGACGCTTCTCTCGTTGACCGTTGGGTTGGGGTTGGTGTTGGGGGATGACAGCCGTCCTAAACCGGAGGGCTATAGTGTCATTGGAGTTCCGCTCTCCGTGCAGCCGGTTACATGTGTCCCTGCTTGCCTTGTGCCACACATGCTATACAATCCCATAAGGGAAGGGCAGCTGCATGAAGGAGCACAGCATGCGCTGTGTCAAAAGGAGCCATCGCCCTGTCTGTGCTTGCCACCCCACAATACAAAGTCGCAGGAGCAGACGCCCTTGGGAAGCGAGAACGCAGGGTAGAGCTTATAGAGGTTACGTGCCGATCCATGTGCCTATAGAGCCTACAGAGCCCTAAATCCTGGACATCCCTCTAAACCCTCTAAACGGCCCCAAACCAACTTCGAGAGGTGGCCGAGCAGATGAACAAGCAGCTGGGCATTTCCACGGAGTACTTGACCGGCAACAGGTCCAAGGCGTTTCTTTGCGTCTCCTTTGGGGCTTTGACTTTGGGCACACCATAAAACAGCTGCGATGCTGAGAACTTCGAAAGCTCGAAGATCTGCAGAATCCCTGAACCCTGAATCCCAGACCCCCATCTCGATTCCTTGAGGAATCACGCGACATGGCAATCTACCGGGTGGCGAAGGGGCAGGCCACAGCAGTTGGAAAAAACAAAAGGGTGTCCATCGTGGCTTTTGTTTGTGACATGGGTGAAGAGCCCGGCGCGTTGGCGGGCCCGTGTCGGCCCTCAGCCGAGCAGTTTGCTTCAGGTCCAGGCCCTCGTCTCCACAGTGCCGCGCCCAGTTCGGCCTAGAGATCTGGCGATTCTTAGGTGAGGCCAGAACAAGTCCTTCTGCTTGGGTTTTCATTAGGCTTACCATGGGCCTTTATGCCCGAAAGGCCCCAGAGAACCTGAAGGAGCGCCGCCTGGAACTCAGGATGCCGCCATGCGGGGTTTGGACTTCAAGCCTGGGCCCTAGCTATTTCGTTCACGCTTCGAGGATGAAGGCTGAAGGATGAAGCATAATGAAGCATAATGAAGCATAATGAAGCATAATGAAGCATAATGAAGCATAATGAAGCAGAATGAAGCAGAATGAAGCATACTATAGCCACTGCTAGAGATTGCAGCTTGACATATTTGATGATAGCAGTGGGTCTTGGTGGTCCTAGTCGTGCAGTCCTTCAGAGCCCTCGGTGACCCCTAAACTCTGAGTCGCCCGAGGCTCCTAAACCCTCTAAAGCCCAGACTTACACCGAAGGGACCTGACCCACGTGGTCAATTTCGAGATTCCGGGCGACGCCGGGGCCTTTCTGGACCAGTCTCACAGCCAGAGTCAGGGTTCCCTTTTTTTTTTGTCTTTTTTTTTCTTTCTTCGGGGGGGGGGGGGGGGGATGTATGGCGACGTCGGCGAAGGGCAGGTTTTTCTGTGTCATCGAGAATCTTCATCCCGAAGTGCGTTTGTTTGCGCTGCGACAGAAGACTCCCCCTCTTTAGACTTCCGGTGGACTTTCCTTTTTTTGTCGTGTTAAGTGTGGCTGTGCGTATCGATCGACTCCAGCTGTTTAGGAAGGCAGCTTGCATACACTGCCTTCACAGCCATACGGATCAATGCAGAAGTTTCGGGAGACGGGCGCAGCATTTTTGCGTAGAACCCTTCGAACCTAAACGCGTGCAAGCAGAAGCAACTTGAGCTGAACTCAGCTAGACTTAAGTCAAACACAAAGAAGCTCGACTGCAAAGGCTGCTACCTATGCACATCGAGCTGGGCGATGCGGCCGCATGGGTCTGACCCCCAGTTACCCTAGTTCCTCCAGCAACCATGGAGGGTTTAGGGCCAGCGTCTAGGGCGTTCACGTAGGGTTTGAGCGGTTTGAGCTTCGGCTTCGAGATTCCAACTTTCGAAAGGTTTGCTTCAACAAGTACTTGCTCTGTGAGCCAGCGCAAGCGAGGACAAACTCCATGCGAAACTGACCTCTGTACTAGATGTATGAGCTGGATTAGAGGTACGCCTTGCCAGCACCCTGAATCACTGAACCCTGCTGAGCCCCAAACCCCTCAACCTCAAGAATTCTGAACCCCAAATGCCATCTAGGCCCCTGAGCCATGAGAAGCCCTGCCTTGAGGCTTCAACGGCATCGTTGTGAGCTTGGCCTCGGGTGGCTACGAAAACAAGCGGTGCAGTCCTGAAGCCCCGAAGCCCTAAGCCCGAAGTTAAGCCATACGAAGCGCCACGTAGCCGTACAACTTGTCTAAGATCACAAAAGCTCAGGCTGCGGAGTTATGCTGACACGCTCAACTTTGAGCTCATCGAGGCGAATGTCAACGAGGGCGTGCTTGGAGTCGCTTGACGGCCTTAGATGGTGGTGGCCAAGGGCCGGGCTAAGAGCCTTGCGTGACCAGCTGAGGCCGACTTGAACATGGCCTACAGCACGGCGCCCAGAAACTCCAAACCCCAAGCTGCCCAAGCCTTTTCCCAGCGGAGAGCATGCTCAGGTCCTCGTGCGCGGAATCGCAGTGAGCGGAGAGGGCGGCGCTGACTGCGATTACGTTCACAAAAGACGTGGTGCCGGGTAACCGACAGTCTTGAAATTAAGGGCTCGGCCTTCGCCCAAAGCTATTTCGCCCCCAATTGCAAACGCTTATGCAGCCGGGCTGGCCCAACGCGGGGTGGAGCACAAGAGCGGGGGGGGGGTCTCAAGAAGGCCCATGTGTTGCAGTGCCCGGTCCCCGAGCGGTTTCAGGAGGTTCTAGTCAAGGTCCCAGTTGGGTCTTGGGCAGGTCATACAGGGTGGGAGCGACGCAAAGCCCCTGACTAAAAAGGCACAGCCGGAAGATCCCAAAGACTACAAGAGGCAGGGCGCTCCATGCTCAAGCACTCCGAAGCAAGTCGGGCTCTCAAAGGCTCAGAGTAGTCGAAAGTGCCCCGTTGCAAGACGTAGGAGTCTCAAGACGCCATGAAGCTCGCTGCGTGCGCTTTCGCGGCCCTGGCTGTGGCCTGTGTCGCTCAACCCAAGCCGCCCAAGAAGCTCTTGGAGGAGGCCCAGGAGGTCCTGGTGGCATGCAGGTTGGCCGACAAGGCGCCAGAGGAGTGCCGCCAGCAATTCGGCAACTTCACGGCCATGCCTCCACCGGACAAAGTCACGGAGCGCTTCGAGATGGAGAAGGGCGCACCAAGGGCCATCCTGGGAACCTTGGAGAATTGCACCGAGGACATCGGCAAAGCGGACGTCAACGTGACCTTCGAGGACTGCAAGATGCAAGTCAAGGCCATGTTGGAGAAGCTCAAGAACGAGACAGTTCCACTCGAGGAGTTGGACCGACAGATTCGGAAGATCGCGGGGAAGAAGGCGATGCACATCGTCAGCACATGCTCCAAGGCCGCGTCCACCGACGCCGCCAAGGAGGCATGCCTGTCCAGCACGGAAGCCCTTGAAGCCCTCGCCAAGCTTTCCGGCCGGGCCGTTGGGTCCGTCCCGGAAGAGGAGCTCCGGCGTCTCTTCCGCAGCGGAGCTGCGGAGGAAATCTCGGAGGAGCTGCGGCTGTGCATGGGTTCTGCCAACACGGATGCCAAGGAGAAGGAATGCTTCGACTCGGATGACATCCGGGCAACAGTCGGGGAGAGCATGGGCAAGGGTGCAGATCATGTCAAGGATTCCGACATTCGGGAGTTCCTGGAGGAAGGCGTTAAAGAGGAGATCTGGACTATGCTGGAGGCCTGCCCGGAAGATTCTCGGGAGCGCTGCATGGATGCTGCCAAAGACATGCTGGCGGCTGTGTCCGGGCAAGAGTCTTCTTCCATCGCGGGAGACATGGTGAGCAAGCTCCTCAAAGACGAGATGGCGAGCGAGCTTGGCGAAAGGATGCGCGCCTGCATGGACACGGCTGAAGACGAGACGGCCATGGAGCGCTGCAGGACCACGCTGTCCGCCGATGTGCTTGGGGTGGCTAGCCAAGGTGAATCACCTTCTCGCACGGACGTTGGGCAGGCCCTGATGGAAGCGGGCCGTGACAAGGCCAAGGAGGTGAGCAAAGACTGCCAGGGCACACGCGAGGAGTGCATGGAGAAGCTGAGGGACGAGGCGGCAAAGTCCATGGGCCGCCTCAAGGAGGACCTGTCGGACATGGAGGTGGAGAGGCTGAACCTGGATGGAGCCCGCGATGCGGCAAAGGAGGCTGCCCGCGGCTGTGCTGTCGCCCGCAAGGAGTCCGCCTCAGCCACTTGCACCGACCCCACTGAGGTCTTCGCAAGCGCCCGCAGAGTCCCCATCGAGGATGATGTGGACCGGAAACGGATTCGGCAAGAGCTTGTGAAGGAGACGGAGAAGGATGCCATGAGGACGTGCATGGATGAATCCGACAAGCAAGGCTTCGACCGCTGCATGGGCGAGATCAAGGATGCCGACGAGGTTGCAGGTGAGCTCTTCCAGGGCCTCTCCAATGAGCGGAAGCAGAACAAGGAGAAATTGGCCCGAGACGAGGCAGCCATCGAGGTCGTCGGCGAACGCTTCCAGATCTGCATGGAGTCCTCCACAACTCCAGAAGAGAAGAACGCCTGCAAAGAGGAGATGCGCGACGGTGCCGGCATGGCAGGCTTACAAGAGGATGTGGAGGATGTCGTGAAGAGATGCTCGGATCGCCAGTTGTTTTTCACTCTTTTTACATTGCCCTTCACCCTAAACTCCCTGAAGGCCCTACAGACCCAAAAGCATCCGCAAGCCCTGAATCCTTAACCCGAAGCCCCTAAGCCCAAAACCCCAAACCCCAAGCCCTAAACTCCCCACACCGACCTAGAATACCAGCGCAACGTTGTGGCCACTGCAGCCCGCGCCTGCAACCAGACCGTGAGGAAGACTTGCATCGACCTAGCCAAGGACTGATGTGCTTTGAGATGCATGGACTGACATGTTTGGGTTGGGGGTTCGGGTAAAAGGGTAAAAGGGTGAAAGGGTAAAAGAGGGTAAAAGGGTTTACGTAGGGTTTTGCAGTGTGGGTTTCCTTTCTACGGCGACGAATCAGCGATGTTGTAAGTGGGATATAATCACGCCACGAATTCGCCACTGAGAGCGCCGTGAAGAGGAGGAGCTGATGAAGAGTGGCCTCAAGGAGCGAGCCTTCCACGTGGTCCGCCAGATGGCAGAGATGAAGTCCGCGGCCGAGGTCTGGGCAGCCTGCCAGGAAGACAGCGCCGAAGTGAATGTGACATGCGACTCCCTCGCCCAAGCGGAGCTGGAAGAGATCAGTGGCTCCACGTCCGTGTGGACTGCCGAGGCGGCAGAGAAGGTGAAGGCACTTGGCGAAGCCATGCTCGAGGGGCGGGAGGTTGTCCTCAGAAAGCTTCACGCCATCCTCCTTGAGATCCTGACGGATGCCCTGGACTGCTCCGACGCCGTCTTAGACAAGCTGGCCGAGAAAGCGCAGCAGACCTCGGATAGTTTCATGCCGAATGCAAGCATGGGGCCGCGCAACGTGTCCAACAAAGAGTGCAGGATTGTCTGGGGACTTGCTCGGTACTTCTGCAAGGTCCACACCAAGGACCTGAACGAAACCGAGACGGACGACCTTTCCGAGACTCTCAGCACCGACCTTGGAACCACGGATATCAGTGTTCGCCGCCTTGGGCGTCGGTTGGCAGTCATCACGGAGTCCTATGCGGCCCAGGAGGTGGAGGAGGCGATCAGCACCAGCGGCGGCAGCGATGACGACACCGGCGATGATGGTGATGATGCTGGAGATCCAACGTCTACATCGCACTGCCTGTTGACAGCTGCCTACTCTGCTTCAACTGCTCTGCTCTTACTTTTCTTTGTAAGCTAGTTGCAGCGTCAAAACAGAGACATGGAGAGGCGCCTAAAGCTCTTGATGCTGAGCCCCACGGGCCAGAACTTCGGGACGCTGAAGCTGAGTACTTCGGCCACGGAGTTGAATGTATAGTATGCTTACGCGCCATCTCCTAATTTTGCGTCACCACGAAAGGCGGTTCTGGGCTCTTTGACCCGGAACTGCGAGCATGGCAGGGTATTGTTGTACAGTGCGGAGTTTTGCCTGTTGATAGGCTCTGGTCACATCTGCTCCGGAGCGGCTACCAGCAGCACAACGTTCCAACGTGGACTCCCAACGGCTTACGGGACCAAAGCAGGAAGCGGATGATTTTCAATTGGGGTTTGAGGGCCTGGGGGGCTTCAGGCTTCTCGGCTGGAAGCCGAGTTGGTCATCTTGCGGTCCCAGGCTCTATGCCAGAAGCATGTGTTCGCCTTTGTCGTCGGACTTTCGCATGCTTGTGTTGAAGTGTGACTGTCGCAGCGTGGCTGGCCCAGCAGCAGTGCGGGGGCGCAGTATCTGCCAGCATTCTGCCTTGATTCCAATGGTTTGTGCCATGTATGGACCCACTGCCTCGGAGCTTGCTTCACTGCTTGCCTCCATACAGCAGCAGCAAATCGCGTCCCCACCCCAGAAGCCATCAAGATTTTTCACCAGTCTATTCCCGCCACCAGAGGTCAGCACTGCCCACGCCCGTCTTTGTCCCGCAGACCTCGCAGGAGCCACAGCTGTGTGCCGCAACTTGCTCAGAAACAGCAACGTGACAGGATCCACTGTCGGTCTCGCTGAATCAGATCTCGTCTGGTGCCCGCGACTCAGCTCGACGCAGAAAAGAAAAGGCTTGCAACAGCGTGTGCAGTCAGGCAAATTGCCGATGGCAAGTCGATGAAGTTGCCTATGCTCCTGGTCTCAGCATTTCACATCTTGCGTGTCACGCCCGACGGTCAGACATGTCAGACCCATGAGAGCCAGGTCGCCACCGGCAAGGACGAAGCAGATTCAGACAAGACGGAGGTGGGCATGCTGTCTCACTCCGGGCTGTTGACGCAGTGAAAGGGGCTTCTCACAAAGCCCAACAGCAAAGCATCTGAAGCAAACCAATTTCAAGATGTTGTTTGAGGTGTTGTTGCGCATGACGACATTCAAGAGCATGAACATGCAACTGTGATGTTGGCGAGTTAATTATGTGCGTCGGTGTGACAGTGTGTCTGTGTATCTCTTCTGTGTCCGTGCGTCTTTGTGCCTGTGTCTGTGCTGCGTCCGTGCTGCGTCCGCACGGCATCTGTTCTGCATGGGCGGCGTCTGCGTCTGCCGTGCTTTTGGTGTCATGCTGTAAAGATTTGTAAGCTTACTAGTTGTTGTTTTTAGTCTGCGAAAGGCACTTGCGATGCGTGCCCGTCAGCGCCAACTCTTTTGAAACCAACAAAAGTAGGGGAGGACCCTGAACTATCCTAAGACCAATGGGGGTGCAAGACTTCAAGTTTGCGCACTACGGGTGTGAGACAGATGCACGAATTTTCACGAAGCGGCTAGCCTGCTATGAGAGAGCAACACAAACCCAAAGGAGACTAATCATAAACAACCCCAAAGTGTCCTAGAAGCTCTGCATCTTTCGGGGAAATGGGATCGTAGGGGTTAGGACCGGTGTCTCTTGAGGGGTTTATGGATAATGCGGGACCATCGTTCTTTATCATGAGCTTGCGCATGGACGGCGCGGTAAAGCAAAGTGTTGTCAAGACGCACTAGATTACGTGAGCAATGGGAACGGCGTACGTGGTCGAGAGTGGGTATACTAAAAAAGGAGTGCTCCATATCTGCATGAGAAGGGGCAGAATCTGAAGCTAGATGTTGGATACGGTCATATGCCTCCGTGAAGCAAGCTTCACTCCAATGGAGTTTTGGGCGACCTGCTCGGTTGGGGCCATATGTACGGCGATAAGCCATTGAACTTTGAAAGGTAGATACTGACTCACAAGAATTTGGATGTCGAAGGAGATGTCCGAAAAATTTAGACGATTCTGTGAGTAGACCTGGGAAGGAGGCTGAACATGTTTACACCGAAATGCAAGCTGGTGTAAATATAAATTGGAGCACTTGGCTTCTGTAGGATTGATGACCCTATGGTAGAAGGAGGACTTAATTTTAAAGATTCTGCGAAGTTGCTTATAGTGAATGGAGTCCAAATGCGTCAGCTGGGAAGGTGTAAGCTGTAAGCTTTCGACCGAGTAGAGCAGAATGGCCTGCACGACCGACCGATATACCGTAAGTTTCCATGAAGGTGGAAGACTAGAATGTGTCATAAGGGGTTTTAGCTTCTTAACTGCAGATATAGCTTGAGAAATACGATAACGTAAGTGTTTCCCTTGGTTGTTTTTATCGTCCAGGTAAGCACCAAGGTACTTAACCTCTTCTACCAACTTAATGGTAGGACCGGGCGCGGTCAGGCCTGAACATAGGGAGCAAGAGCATAGTTCTACGGGGGCGGGCGAGTAATGGAGGCGACGGTCAGAATTCATTCTAAGGTGCTCACACTTATCGAGGTTCAGGAGGAGGCCTCTGCGGCATCCCTCGTACTGAATAAGATGCAACAAACGGTTAAGGGCATCTGCCGAAGTAGAGAGCAAGACAGTATCATCAGCATACTCTAAATCCCAGAGTGGGCTGGGGAGTTGAAACACACCAGCAATGTGGCCGAAGCGAGTCTCATATTGGCTTTCGACTTCATCAAACAGATGGGTCAGCACGAAGCTAAATAGATAAGGGGAGAGAGGACATCCTTGACGTAAGCCTTTGGTTTGCACCTGTTCAGAGGATTTAATGTTGGAATCGCGGACCAGGAAGCGAGGAATGTGCCAGGGCGGCCTGAATAGCAGTGAAGGTGACCGAGTCAAAGGCTTTAGACCAATCGAGGAACAAGGCATGAAAAGAAGTAGTTTGCCTTTCAAAGATTTCAATAAGTCGACGGATTATGTGGACCGGTTGAGATGTAGAGCGATGTTTACGAAAACCAAACTGGGTAGGGCGGATTTTGTCATCAAAGAAGAGCTCAAGACGATGTTGAAGCATAGAGGCAAAGATTTTGTAAGATATGTTAGTGAGGGAAATGGGACGATAATTAGAGAGGAGACGAGTATCCTTTTTGTGGTCCTTGACCAACATAACAACTTCCGAAAATAACCAGGTAGCAGGTACTTCCCTAGTTTCAAAGCATTGGTTATAATGGTCAAGGAGAGAAAGTTTTAGAATATAAGGAGCATGTTTGTATAATTCGCCAGGTATTTCATTAGGGCCCGGCGACTTACCCGGCTTTAAACGTCGGAGAGCGGCGCCCAAGTCCGCCATGGTGAAAGGGCAATCCATAGAGGGGTCTGTGCATGAAGTATCTGGAAGCGGGAGGGCAGGGTCCTCTGACGAGAGCCATATTTTGGTGGAAAGATATTCCGCAAAAGTGGACGCACGCTTATCCTTGGATACTAAGGAATCCTTAAGATTAAAGAGACCCGTGGCACGGGGCTTACTAGTTGTTGTACAAGGAGTTTCTTGTACCTTCGCACTGGAGGTCCTGGGGCACTGCAAGGAATGTTGTTCTACTCCGTTGAGGGAGCATGTGCATGTGAAATTTCGGCTTGAGGCCGAAAACTGTCCGCTGCGTTTTTGCTGTTTTACAAGATAATATGCAAAACCTACGAAGCACTAAATCAGTACCAAAAACCAGAATCAAGAAAACTACAAAAAATCTAAAAAACAAAACCCCAAAAATAAAACAAAAAGCAAAACCCCAAAAATATTACAAACCAAAACCCAAAAACCAAAAAACAAAAAACAAAACCAAAACAACTAATAAAGCCGCACAAACAATTCTCGGGAACTCTTGAAGACAGAACATGGATTTGTATTGAGTCCAGGAGTTCCCGAAAATTGTATTTCTTGGTGTTATTGGTGTTTTTTTTTGGGGGGGTTTTGGGTTTTATGCTTTTTGTGCTTCTTGGCTTTGTGTTATTCCCGCACTTGTGTGCATTTATCGACTTAGCTTGTGTGTGAAATGCATTTCGCCTCTGTCGCCGTATTCTTGGCTGCATGTCAAAGCTGTCCAGGAGCAAATTCATCTTTTCTGTGTATGAATTTCATAGAAAATGTAAATCTTTCCGAGGGTGTGTTTCCCAGGGTGTGGCCTTGCAATTTAAAACCTTAATTGGTTCTTAATTGTTAATGAAGCTTACAGAGGATGTCTTGGGGTGTGGCCTCTACATGTAAATTCGATTTAAGTGGAATTACAAAGGACATCCAGATGAGGGTTTCTTGGGGTGTGGTGTTTAAATACAAACTTCAGCTTACATTTCAGTGTGAATTGGGGCCACAAGAGGATTTCATAGTGTGTGGTCGGCAGGTTAAATTTCCAACAAGATAGAAAAAAACGAAGAAGGCTTAGAAGAGGATGTCTTGGGACTTGTTCTACTTTGGTTTAATTGCGAACGAAGCTGTGTTTTAATCATACACACGTCTATTGACATTTCATGAAGCGGGAGGATTTCATAGCGTGTGGCTTTTCAGTATCGAAGTCTATGTAAATTTGACTACGAATGAGAGCTCAGAAGATGATATCTTAAGGTGTGGCCTCTTTAAGGTTCTGTCCAAAGTTTACCTACGTTGAAGCCTAGATGAGGATTTCTTGGGGTGTGGGCTTCTCTTATCAGTTTTCAATATCATTACGAAGAAAGCCCAGATGAGGATTTCTGAGGCTGTAACTTCTGCGTATAAGTTCTTATGAGATTCAGTCCGAACACGCCCCAGAATGGCGCGGCTTTTTGAATACAAGCGATGAGGATCTCTTAGGGTGTGGCTTTGTATTCCGAATTCCAATTAAGCTTCATTACGAATAGAAATCGTGAAACCTTTACGGGTAAGCTCAACCCCAAACACAAAACGCGTTCGAGGCTTGCTGCTGGCGAACCCTCTATTTACCCCAAACCTCAAACCGTAAAATCCCGTGAGCCCTA